ACGGTGAACTCCTGGAAGAATGGTAGACAGTTGGTGTGGGACTACACTTGCGTTTCAACTTTAACCAACACCTATGTTGACTTCAGTGCTACACAAGCAGGAGGTGCTGCCAATCACCGGGAAGCGGCCAAGTCACGTAAATACAGAGACCTTGATCACCACTACAATTTTGTCCCCATTGCCTCAGAGATACTTGGTGCTTGGGGGTAAAAGTGCTGCTAGTTTTTTGAAGGAGTTGGGGTCCAAGCTAACAAACAACTAGAGACCCTAGAGCCGCCAGTTTTCTCTTTCACCGCCTCAGTGTGACGATCCAGAGAGGAAATGCTCACCACATCCATGGTTCCTGCCCGCCATCTGAGGAGCTGTATAACTTGTGACAAGCAGCCGTGTACCTTGCATGTAAACACTGTTGTAACCCTTTTTGTGTAATGACATTTTCAAATAAAGTTAGATATATATACACACATGCCAAAAAAATAAGGGTGGTAGAAGAAAATACCAAAGTGTTCAATGAGGATCCATTCCCGCCCGGAATTCGAACCAGGAATTCTCGATTATGAGTGTACGAGCCCGATTGTACTAGCGGGGCCGTATTAATGCCATACTTGCCTAACTCGAGGCTACAGGACAGTGACTCTTGTATCAGTAGGCCTACTGTACTCTCAGTGTATCAATACAGCTCTCAATTTACTATTTTGCGTTCATTAATTAACTGTACTCTCAGCCTGGGCCAGATTCACGAAAGCACTTACGAACGTGTACATCTTTCCTCAATCTTTGACGGCTTTGGTTACATTTATTAAACAGTTTACAAGCATGAAAACTTCCCATTCAACTGTCGTTATTGTTATAAACAGCCTCCTGGTGCTTCGGAGCTCATTAACTGTTTAATAATTGGAAACAAAGCCGCCAAAGATTGAGAAAAGATGTACACGTTCGTAAGTGTTTGCGTAAGTGCTTGCGTAAGTGCTTTCGTGAATCTGGCCCCTGGGCTGGACTCTTGGTTTACTCTTGTGAACACGTTAACAACCGTTATGTGTACATAACAACAGATACAATGCTACCATTTATAGTGGCCAAGTGTGCCACTCCCAGCTAGGCCACCACCATGTATCCTGGCTACTGATTGTTGCCGCCGAAGGCGGCTAGTTTATTGTGCACCCCATACCCATCCTGTGAGCGGTAGCGCAAAAAGCATTACAGAGGGCACAAAAGGTCTTTATCAGACCTCATCTTAGATTATTACATAAACAATTTCATCTGTCCTTCATACCTTATAACTACAATGTCAGCTAGTTACAGAGAATGTTTTATTTCAAGAGCTATATATTAACAGTAAGTTAATAATCTCATATGTCGTTTATCTACTGGAAGCGAAATATGGATACAGTGCTAGGATTTCAGGTATTTTATCCATGGTAATAAGATAGGTTGCTAGATCATACAGAGTTTAAATTTATCTCTAAATGGCTCAATTTGACTACAATCCAAGATATAAAGTTCGAGTGTGTCCCTGTCTTTGTCCACACACTTTACACGTTACTTCATCTAGATCCCTATACAAGCCGAACTGCCAGAGATACTTGTAGCCAAGTCTTATACGAGCTGTGACAACATCTGTTAGTCTACTGACTTTGTTACTTGCCCCATACACATGTTTTACTTCACACATTTTATTGTGATAAACAAAATTATAGACTTGCTAGTTCCAGTTTGCACTGTTCTGCTGTCTTCAAATCCATCCAGGAGTTCTTGTCATTTAATGACACTTTTAAGGAACCTATTTGACAACTACAGATTCCGTTAAATACTGTCTATATTTACTTCAGCCTTAGCAAGGGCGTCAACTTTATCATTTTCCCTCCGGCTACGGATACATGTTTATCCTCGTCTCCCCACTACAGCTATTTATGTGTATCCTTGATAAGATTCACAAGTATCCTGCCAGTATCTTATCAGTGGTAGATGCGAGTGATTGTGATTATGGCTGTGCGCGCATGGAGTCCGTTCCTGCCATTTCTACTCCGTAAAAAGAGATTGATTTACCCTAAACAAAAGGCATGAGGAATAGGCTACCCACTAACATCCCGGAGCCTACACTCAGTAGTCCCATGATGCCTCAATATTGCCGTGTTTTTAATTTCTCTAAACCGCCGCAATTATTACGCCAGAGGCCAATTCGTAAAAATGGAGTGTTCAGTAGGAAGAAGTATCGAGCTTTAGTGTTGACTAGACCACACACTAGAAGGTGAAGGGACGACGACGTTTCGGTCCGTCCTGGACCAGTCGACCATTCTCTCAATCGACTTGAGAATGGTCCAGGACGGACCGAAACGTCGTCGTCCCTTCACCTTCTAGTGTGAGGTCTGGTCAACATACTTCAGCCACGTTATTGTGACTCATCGCCTGCAATCGAGCTTTAGTTCTTGGATTCCGTCATCCGGCCCCCCTGGGTTTCTTATACAATGACTCCCGACCTATTTTTGTAAAGTATCTACTGTTTATTCGCGTGGTGAGGCTTTTTACTCAACAGTTAGTTCCTTGACGGCCGGGCTTCAGCTCCAGGACTCCGGTGGCAGCATTTACGCCACCAGTTACTAAACCTGAACATCTTTACTTGATCATGGCGGCTGTGTGTACATGTATTAACAGATTATGAGCTGGGAAGCACTCTGAGGATGTTTAAAACACTAATAACCTGGTGTTGTGAAGTTTCCAAACTCCCATGCTGTTTAATAAATATAACCAAAATCGTCATTATTAAGAAAAGATGTATAGGTTTCGCAGACCCTTTCCTACAACCAGTTGACTAATGTAATGACCCCTAGCTTAAAATTTTAAGCCTAATAGTGGTAACACTCGCCCAGGGCTTCAGGAGCGCTTTAGCCTGGGTTCGTATCCTGACCAGGGAGGAGCGACTGGGCGCCAATCCTTACCTGTTGCCTCTGTTCACCCAGTAGTGAATGGGTACCTGGTTGTTAAACGATTTGGCGGGTCGTATTCCCGAGAAAATTAGGATTATGGACCTGCTCGATACGCTACGCGCGCTGGTGGCCGTACAAGAATGTAAGGGAACTATTGTATTATAATAAACAAAAAGTTAACACGTTGTCCATGTTGTCTATGCATCAGTTGGTTATGTTGGGTTGGTGCTGGCTACAACACAGTACCCAGCATGACCACTACTGCAACAGTCCGTCAGTGTACGTAACTGGACCCCCATAGTTGGTGTGAGTAGTCACCGCTGGAGGGCGGGGACCACACTAGTACACTACCCAGTGGCGTGTTTAATTGAGTGTCCCCTAGTTATTTGTGGCCCCAGTGTGCGCTGGTGATGCGGGCAGGCGTGTGTGTGTCCTGGTGAAGGGGGCGTGTGTTGTTTTAAAGGTGCAGTTGACAGCCTCCTAGACCTAAAGATATCCCCCCGCCCCCCCTAGGCTAGCTATTGACCTTCCTCAGGACACAACAGTTGTCTAACTCCCGGCTACCTATTTACTGCTAAGTGATCAAAGGCTTCTGTTGTGCCGCGGGAGTCGAACCCGGAGCCTTTCGGTTATCGATCTTCAATCTTCTCCAATGCCACTTAAACTATTATTAACCAATTCATATCAAACATATATTAACTGCAGATAATTAGTAAAACCGTTTAGTCTAACTACATAACTTGTAATTATTCACTATAGTTAACTCGACATAGAGAAGAAACAAATTGCTCATAAATTACAGCAGCATTTACAATGATAAAAGAATATGGACTCACATAACACGGAGTGAAACACCCTCCGTCGACGAGGTCTGGGGACGTACTGAGCCAGCTGGCGCCAACTAAGTGTTGCTAACATTCGAGCGTGGACCCGCTAAGGTGAGCGGTCTATAGTATCGCCCAAACAGGCCTTCTCTAGTTTCCTTAATATGTTCTTATTTCCCATAACCTAGAATCAGATTTTTTTGGGAGGGAGGAGGAAGTAAAGAGGAAGGAGAGGCATAGGTGAAGGGAAGTTTAGAAGTGGGAAATACAGTGAGAGGTATGAAAGCAGGCAGGCGGGCTGTCCGCCTTGCTGACACGATGTGTGGGTGTTGGCAGCTAAGCTAAGCTGGCTCCCTCTTGTCAGGGTGCTGTGAGTGTGTGAGAGGTTCTTCACATGTGTTTCACCATATATATGGATGTCCATAGATGAATACTGTGTAGCATTCATATATACACACTCCGATGCTTCCACACATGTTCTGTTTAAGGCTCTTTATTTTAGTAGTATTATTTAGTGAAATATATTATATATATTTATATATAATGTGATCTTTAATTGTTTATTGAAGAATCAGTGAAGTTAATTGTTATGATAGCTGACCGTTCAGGCAGTGTAATTAACGTCATCAAGTGAAGTAACATTCTTGTTTACCAAGCTGCCTTGAGTGGCAGCGTTGTGTTAACGTAATTCGTCTTGATTAATTAGCTGTCCGTGACGCAGTAATTAATATAATTACTCACTGATTGTTTATCTTGGAGACAGAGTAATTAATGTTAGTGAGTTATTGCTTTGTTTGTTGGCCTGTCTGAGTGACAGGTTGTAATTAACGTAGATTACCTTTGTTTACCGTCAGGATGACAGTAATTAACATAATGAGATTAACGTAATTAAATTGTTTTGATTAAATTGATTGAGAATCAATTGTTGTGGTTCTGTGGAATAGAAAGATAAAGTAATTACTGTTCCATTGATTATCGCCCTTAGTGACGTGTGTTGAAGTAATTTGAAAGGGTTACTGGAGACTATCTCAGTGACCCGTCTTGCTGTGTTTGCATTGTTATTGTTTGGCTGCAATTGTTTTGATTAGCATCCTGAGTCCAAGTGAGCACCCGTAATGTTCAGTCTAGTTCAGTATACCAGCCAAGGGCGGTACGTACGACCAGGAGCCAGTGCTATTCTAAGGGTTGTTTGATTAGCTGTCATTAGTGTCACTCTGAGGACAATTAACGTAACGTTAAATTGTTGTGCTTTGTATTAGTATTAAGTTCTGTAATATATTGTTGTTGTTAATAAGAGAAGTGTCTATGTCAACACCAATCAACGACATATTTCAACAATACTCCCCTCCCCCCTCGCTTATTCTGCAACAAACTAGACTATTTCTTGTATTTAATTAAGGCCTGCTTCTGGATTCGAACTTGATTCATAGCCATTATCACTGAATATGAATTCGGTGTGAGGACCCATTAGTTACCCATAATATTGTCCTAAGCAACTGCGGAGCTAAACGACCTAGTGGATAGGGGACCAAGCAATTGGACCCCGGCGGCTGCTCTCGCCTTACATTCTCAATCTTGTGAAGTATAATCTACACATGTGGCACTTCCCGTGATGGCTTGTGGAGTCCGTCTGGCCGAGCGTCTCTAGTGGATTAGTGTTCCCCAAAAATAGGAAAATTTCCCACTTTCTTCCTATGAACGTTTTCTAATTTACGGGATTAACTTTGTCATTCTTCGGTGGACGCGTTTCAGTGAATTTATATCCATTCTATAGTTCGGCGACCAAAACTGAACTGCATAATTTAAATGGGACCTAACCAGAGCAAGATAGAGCTGAACAACACCAGGTGTCTTATTACTGACGCTAAGAAAACTAATTTTTGGTTTTAAATTCTTACTAATCATAACTCCCAGAACTCTTTCGCAATCTCAACACCATCTAGCTCGTATCTAGTAACTCTATCATCATTACCTAGCCTCAAAACCATACATTTGTCAGCATTAAACTGCAGCTGTCAATCTTTGGACCATCTCAAGCCCTCTACGTGTTAAGACTATTTTTAAATGTGTTATATTTTGAATCCACATCGCAGTCCCTTGTCACGTCACCCCTTGGCTGGGTTCACGTCTCGCTCCAAGACCGGCCCCATGCCCAGGACGTTTAAAACATTTCCCTGATGTATGAGGCTACTCGCCGCCTCGTCTAATATGTTTATCTGTGTCTGTATGAGGCAATCAATGTATCAATAACTTTACTGGAGTCAACGCGGGAGCCGGTCGGCCGAGCGGACAGCACACTGGACTTGTGATCCTGTGGTCCCGGGTTCGATCCCAGGCGCCGGCGAGAAACAATGGGCAGAGTTTCTTTCACCCTATGCCCCTGTTACCTAGCAGTAAAATAGGTACCTGGGTGTTAGTCAGCTGTCACGGGCTGCTTCCTGGGGGTGGAGGCCTGGTCGAGGACCGGGCCGCGGGGACACTAAAGCCCCGAAATCATCTCAAGATAACTTCAAGATAACATTTATAAAGTTGCAATGCTCTTCACTACGACTGCTGGGAAAAAGCTGAGAGTAATATGTCTTAACACGAGCGGCCTTCAGTAATACCTTGCTGCAATTCCTTTATTGAACAGATGTTTTTGAACAGGGACACCTTAGATTTGTTTATGTTTTTATTGTGATATAAGGGAGGTAGTTTAATGCCGTCCCCATTGTAATCATGATGCCCTAGAGGGACGTCTGGGGTGCCATGATTACTATATATAAAATATTCCTGACGACTCGGAGGGTAGACAAGGCTATGTGACCAAGAGCTGATGCGCAACCAACACAAGCCCAGTTAGGAGTGTAAACATACACACCCACCAATACACACACATACATATATAAAGAACACACACACATACATACATACACAAAAAACACACACATACCTATGCAAATATACAAAAAAATCGACATACCTGTACACAAGCATCAAACGCACACATACACAAAGAAGAATTACATACCCATGCACAAACACACATACCCATACGCACATACACAAGCAACACACACACACACACACACACAAATCCTTCCCCCCCTCCCCCGCCCCCCCCCATCGCTCTCAATTAACCCCTCATTGTCTGAGCGAGCAGTGACGGCCACCCGAACCACATGTCGATCTTCCTGTAGGCCAAGAACCTATAGCCCTTAGACACCACGTAGCGTCGAAGCCTTCTGTGGCCCTCCGGAACGTGGTTGAACTCCACACACAGCACCCGGATCCGGATCTTGTCCCACGGGATGGTCTTCAAGACCTGCGGGAGGGAGAGGTGAAGGGTCTTAAGGCCGGCAGTGGAGGGTGCTAGATTGATTAGGTATACCCCTGGTTTACAAGGAGAGTTACTGGGTTATACACTGGCGGTATACTCGGTAAGTCTCCCAGGCTGGGTATATCTGTGATATACCCATATTGAGATTTACATTTTAAAATAAAAAAAGAGGGTATGCATCAGACATCAGCAAGGAAAACACTGAGAAACCTAAGAGATAGCGAAACATATAATGTTAAAAAAAAATCTTTTGTGTATAATGAAAGTTTGAAAATGATGTTGATGGAGTCATTTCTGCCTTTGGGATTATTTTGTATTCTTCTTTTTCCTCTAGATTGTCTTACCTTGACTTCGTCGCCTTCAACGTCGAGTGAGAGGAAGTCAACGATGGTGACGTTGAGGGCCTTGAGGAGTGAGAAGAGAGGAATGGCCCTCACTTGGAGTCCTCTCTCCTCTACGGTGCTCAGAACTCCATTATCTCCAGCTGGTCTAAGAGGAAGACACGTCGAGATGATTAAATATAACGTGTGCGTGTGTGTGTATAGGTGTTATATAGGGAGTTAGTAAACTATTGTGGGTTGCAAACTGGGTGAAAGTTAGTTATTGGCCTAGAAGGGGGGAGACCTTACATCTGATATGCCTCTATTCACCTGGCAGTAAATAGGTACCCGGGAGTTAGACAACTGTTGTGGGGGGGTGGGGGTTGCATCTTGAGGAACGAACACGCTAAGGAGAACCTTCCTTAGGAGGACCTCCCTAGGGACCACGTTGGAGGGGGGACCTCCGTGAGAAGGACCTACCTGGGAAGGACTTGCCTAAGGACAACCTAACTCAGGAGGACGTTGGAAGAGCACCTCCCTAAGGACAACATTGGAGGAGGACCCACCTGAGGAAGACACTGGAGGAGACATTGGTGACCGAGAGCGCCGCATTGATCGAGTAAGCTCTACGATGCTTGTAGAGCAGGCGCTCGTAGGTCACCGGATAGGGCTCTACCAGCAGCCCCGTCCACCCCAGCCACCGCTCAAGGTACAGGGTGTTGCTCAGGAATTCCCCGTCTACTGCTCCAGCTTCTACGAAGAACCCGCCTTTCTGTGGGGTAGATGGTAGATTAGAGAGGGTATATCTATCTCCACCTCTGTAGAATACTGTACAGGAATTTCTTCTCCACGGCTCACAAAACGGAAGAGAGATTACCGAAAAACATTACTGATAGAAATATGGCGCCCACCGCCACCAACCAGAAGACTGAACCAATAATATACCATAAGAGCAAGAAGACTGCCAACTGGCTCATGAAGAACTGCCCTCACACCAAACAAAGCCCCTTGAAACAGACGAATATCGTCAATATCTTCACATGCCCACTTGGGGGACTGTCAGCCCCAACGAATTCAATATATCGGCAAGACCACAACATCCTTTTCAAGACGCCTAACAATGCACAAGCAGCAAGGACCTATTAAGGGACATATAATCTCTACACATAACCAGACCATCACCAGAGATATTCTCACAAACACCACCAAAATAATCGACAGATAAACCCACAACAGAGAACTGGACATAGGAGAGGAATTTGCGCCTGTTCACCTAGTAGTAAATAGGTACCTGGGAGTTAGACAGCTGTTACGGGCTGCTTCCTGGGGGTTTGTGTGTGTGTGTGTAAGGGGGTGGGGGGCAGGGGAAGGGAACTATCAGGGGGAAAGCGCCAAGCCATTGCGACTATATAGCACTTGGAAGAGGTCAGGATAAGGATTTGGGATGGGACGGGGGGGAAGGAATGGTGCCCAACCACTTGGACGGTCGGGTATAATGTATATATCTACTATATATCTACTATTATATCTCTAAGCCTCTACAACACTCACTGTCCCCTCCTTACCAAACAAGTAACAGACAAAAGAATAAACAATCCGTGGCTCACAAGTGCCATACTCAAATCAATCAGCAAAAAACATGAATATGAAAAGAAATTTAGGATTGGCCTAGTTACAAAGCAAGTAGTTAAAAGGTACTCATCAGTGCTTACCAGTATCATAAGAAAAGCTAAACTTTCATATTATGAGACGAGATTCAAAGAAGCAAAAGGCAACATGAAAAGCACATGGAATACCATCCCTAATATCCTGGGAACTAAACACTCCCACAACCAGATAACACTCTCTAAGGATGGCCTTACACCGTCAACTGATTTAGAAATTGCAAATGAATTTAATAGCTTCTTTTCATCGGTTGGTGCTAACCTTGCAAGTAAAATCCCACAGACCCAGACACATATCAACACATATCTCTCAGGCAGCTATCCAAACTTTCTTCTCCTCTCACCAGTCAGCCCGTCAGATGTTGTGTCCATCATACACTCACTAAAAACCAAAGCTGGGAACATCTGTGAAATCCCATCCATTATATACAAGAGCGCCTCCCATGCCCTTGCGCCACCTATAGCTCTGCTGTTCAACAAATCCCTTGAGTGTCATACCTTCCATGATAGCCTTAAAAAAGCAAGAGTAACGCCAGTTCATAAATGAGGTAATCCGGCAGACATAAACAACTACAGACCAATATCATACCTACCCATACTATCAAAAATATTTGAAAAAATTATCTACAAACAGCTCTACTCCTACCTCGCAAAATTCGACATACTTAGCCCCTGACAGTTTGGCTTCCGCTCCCAAAAGAGTACCAACGATGCAGTTATTAGTCTACTTGATATAATTTACTCAGCCCTTGACAAAAATGAGTTTCCGATTGGACTCTTCATTGACCTGAGAAAGGCCTTTGATACTGTTAATCACAACTACCTCTTATGTAAACTCCATCATTATGGAATCCGAGGCCATGCACTAGACTATATCCAATCCTATCTTAGTGATAGACACCAATGTGTAACCATCAATAATATAACCTCTCCCACTCTACCAATAACCGTTGGAGTGCCACAGGGCAGCATCTTGGGACCTCTCCTATTTCTTATATACATCAATGATCTGCCTAACGTCTCTAACATTCTGAAACCTATATTGTTTGCAGATGATACTACCCTCATCTACTCTAACCCCAACCCACATACACTTAATAATGTTGTTAATAATGAACTAAAAAAAGTCTACTTATGGATGTCAACCAACAAACTAACACTGAACATAGAAAAGACCTACTACATCTTATTTGGAAGCAAATCAACAAATACAATTCAGCTTCAGATAGACAATGTAAACATTAGCAATAAAAATGATGGAAAGTTTCTTGGCCTATTCCTAGACAAGAGACTCAACTTCGGTACCCACATACAACACATAACTAAGAAAGTCTCTAAAACAGTTGGTATACTCTCCAAAATCAGATATTATGTACCTAACTCTGCTCTCATCTCTCTATATTATGCACTAATCTATCCCTATCTCAACTATGGTATCTGTGCAAGGGGTTCAACCACACTGCAAACCACCTCAAGTCCATCATCACCCAGCAAAAATCTGCTATCAGAATAATAACAAACTCTGCTTTCAGACAACACTCAGCCCCCTTGTTTAACTCCCTAAACATGCTAAACATAATCTCACTCCACACATTCTCTTGTGTCAACTACATTTACAAAACCCTGTTCTTAAATGCAAATCCTGCTCTGAAACTCTCCCTGGACAGATGTAATAGGACCCATTATCACCACACCAGAAATAAATATCTCTTTGATATCCCCAGAGTCAAACTTAATCTGTGTAAACACTATGCAAATAAAGGGACCCAGTCTATGGAACTCACTCCTTACTGAATTGAAAAGCTGTCCAACTTTTACATCATTCAAAAACAAAACTAAAAAGTACCTAATTTCATTTTCATAATTTTCTAGCCTGTTGCTTTAAAATTGCACTGTATCTAGTGCTACCCAATCTCCCAATCTTCATGTACCCAATCCAAACAACTTTACCATTGTGATCATTGCTGTCTTCTTATATGTACTGTCAATCTGCTGTATGGTGTCTATTAATCTTCGTTTAAATTACCAATCAAGCTGTCAATGCAATCAATCAAAGCTTTAACATACCAATGTGTATACTTACTAATCTCTCTCGTCTCATTTTTTTCTTTCTTGCAAATGTATATGTTATCATTTTATTAATTCTGCTAGAATTTACCTACTTAAAATTATCTGTTAGATTAAGGACCTGCCAGAAACGCTGCGCGTACTAGTGGCTTTACAAGAGTGTCAATTACCATACAATGTTCTCTCACACCCCCAATGTACCTTCTTGTATAAAAATATATAAATAAATAAATAAATAAATAAATAAAATAAATATACATGCTTCACCTGTGATGGCAAAAAACATGCTTTAAAAAATAGAAAACAGCGCCATCTGTTGCACATAATAGCAACATGCACCCTATACTAAATATTTCACGAATTCCATTTCAATATTTCCGATTGCATTGATAAATTTTATTTTCATATATTTCGATTTATTTTATTTTTTATTGAATTATTTTGTGTGACATTGTGTTGGAATTGAGCTGTGTTGTTTACCATACCGTTCATTTCGTAAGTATAAGTACAGATGCCACACCTGTGACAGGTAAACCTATACTTTTCTTGAAAAACAACGCCATGTGATGCATGTAAGAGCAACACACACTCATTTTCTATCAATCAAATTTACTAGGGAAAGCATGTGTCTTGAGTATACCTTACACTTGCATGAACTCACAATGAATATAACAAACAGAACACTTCCCTATATGAGAGAATCGAACCATGGGCCAGCAGGTGCCTGGCCATACCATTAACCACTAGGCCACCCTCTCATATGGGAAAGTGTTCTGTTTGTTATATTCATTGTGAGTTTAAGCAAGTGTAAGGTATACTCAAGACACAAGCTTTCCCTAGTAAATTTGATTGATAGAAAATGAGTGATCAGGAGCCATCCCTCTGGTGTCACTGGGGAGGGAGAGTTCATGATGGAAAAACTCACCCAAATTTCCGTCCTTTTTAACGATCCGAGGCGTGGCCTAGTGGTTAATGCTCTGGCCAGGCACCTGCTGGCTCATGGTTCGAGCCTCTCATATGGGGAAGTGTTTTGTTTGATGGATATGTATATATATATATTGCTTCCCATATTCATCTTGCTAGCTATGAGTAGTAGAGCAATAGACAGTAAGCTGTACCCAGTGACTATGCGACTATAGTGGAGGGACTGACCATGCCGTGAAGGAGGTTCTTGACCAGGTGCAAGGGCTGCCCGAACTGGGAGAAGTCCTGCTTCTCCGGGTTGGTGAGGTTGTAGGGGAGGGCGGAGGGTGGTGCCAGCTGGTGTCTCAGGTAGCTGACCAGTGCTGGGTCCTCCTGATGGGCTGACACGAATGGCTTGTCAGTCAAGACGGCTTCTGAGTGTGTTTTCTGATGGACTAACATGAGCGCCTCGTCACGTGTGGAGCTGTCCTTTAGGGGTACTGTAACGTCAAAAGGACATTGTGATGAGTACTTCACTTGTGAGAGAGACAGCTTAAGGCTCTTATAGAGAGAGAGACGTGAACTTGCACCAAGACCTTCCCTTATACCATGTCACGTATTAATAAAAACTGGCAAATAGCAACATTTAAAAGTCACTAATGAGTGATCACACACACAGAGAGAGAGAGAGAGAGAGAGAGAGAGAGAGAGAGAGAGAGAGAGAGAGAGAGAGAGAGAGAGAGAGAGAGAGAGAGAGAGAGAGAGAGAGAGAGAGAGAGAGAGAGAGAGAGAGAGAGAGAGAGAGAGAGAAGGATCTGGGGTTGAAGTCACATCGAACCTATCTCCTGAAGCCCACATCAAAAGGATATTATCAGCAGCATAGGCAAGACTGGCTAACATGAGAACTGTCCTTAGAAATTTGAATAAGGAATCATTTAGAACCCTGTATATCATATATGTCAGACCAATCCTGGAATATGCAGCTCCAGCATATTCCTAGTCCATATCTAGTCAAGTACAAGGCGGAGTTGGAGAAGGTTCAAAGGTCTTCAGGTTAGTTCCAGAATTAAAAGGTATGAATTAAGAGGAAAGTCTATGTGTATTGAACCTCACGTCAGTGGAAAACGGAAAAGGCAAAGGAGAAATGATTACCACATAAACAATTCCCAGGGGAATTGATAGTTTACGTAAAGATAGACTATTTAACACAAATGGAATTCGCACAAGGGAACAGAGTTGGATGCCGAGTACTCACATGAGGCATCATTCCTCCCCCCCCCCCCCCCCCGTCCCATCCCAAATCCTTATCCTGACCCCTTCCAAGTGCTCTATATTGTCGTAATGATTTGGCACTTTCTCTAGATAATTCTCTACCTTTCCCCCTGCCTCCTTCCCTGCCTGCCTCCCTGCCTGCCTCCTTCCCTGCCTGCCTCCCTGCCTCCCTCCTTCCCTGCCTGCCTCCCTGCCTCCCTCCTTCCCTCCCTGCCTCCCTCCTTCCCTCCCTGCCTCCCTCCCTCACTGTTATAAATGGTGGCGAGTTCTACTATGGGGGATCTAGTATTAAATGGATGTAGGGGCAGTAGTTAGAATAAAAATATATCTCTAGCAGTGGAGATCAGTAAGGCCCGGCTCCCAAATAAAGATATATCTCTTAGCAGTGGAGATCAGTAAGGCCCGGCCCCCAAATAAAGATGTATCTCTAGCAGTGGAGATCAGTAAGGCCCGGCCCCCAAATAAAGATGTATCTCTAGCAGTGGAGATCAGTAAGGCCCGGCCCCCAAATAAAGATGTATCTCTAGCAGTGGAGATCAGTAAGGCCCGGCCCCCAAATAAAGATATATCTCTAGCAGTGGAGATCAGTAAGGCCCGGCCCCCAAATAAAGATGTATCTCTAGCAGTGGAGATCAGTAAGGCCCGGCCCCCAAATAAAGATATATCTCTAGCAGTGGAGATCAGTAAGGCCCGGCCCCCAAATAAAAATATCAACAGTGAATATTAATTGGCTACAAAACAATGTCAGTCTAGAGGTTGATCATAGATCTTCTACACAGGAAGAATGGATACTCCTTTAACTAACTTATTTATTTATTAACCCCTTAACAACCCCCCATATACATTCACACCAATAACAATAATTACTTTACCACACTCTCTTACGTTAAAAGCCTTGGTCCACATAGGCAGGATACAAGGTTTTACAATGAGAACAAGCTAGGGTAAAGTACTACTAGTGAAGATCCTGAAGCTTGAAGCAGCTTAGCATAGTGAGACCACGTGGTACCCTAACACAACACAACACTAAGGGGCACCCAAAACACTGGCAAATACTACCCCAGGTCTACACCAATCTTACAATACCAGAGTAGGCACAATTAAATACTGTACGCAATACTTAACTTAGTAAACTAGACACAGAAAAAGATAAGTAAAAGTAGTAGGAAGGGTAGGAGGTTCTTTCCACCACGGCGCCAGCACAGAGAAGAACGACCATCTCCAGTCTCCTTCCTCAGCTAACTCGCTGCCGGCAGACTACTCAACTAATCGTACAGCAGCCCTTACCTTGAGGTTACCTTGAGGTGCTTCCGGGGCTTAGTGTCCCCGCGGCCCGGTCGTCGACCAGGCCTCCTGGTTGCTGGACTGATCAACCAGGCTGTTAGACGCGGCTGCTCGCAGCCTGACGTATGAGTCACAGCCTGGTTGATCAGGTATCCTTTGGAGGTGCTTATCCAGTTCTCTCTTGAACACTGTGAGGGGTTTGCTAGTTATGCCCCTTATGTGTAGTGGAAGCGTGTTGAACAGTCTCGGGCCTCTGATGTTGATAGAGTTCTCTCTCAGAGTACCTGTTGCACCTCTGCTTTTCAACGGGGGTATTCTGCACATCCTGCCATGTCTTCTGGTCTCATGTGGTGTTATTTCTGTGTGCAGGTTTGGGACCAGCCCCTCAATTATTTTCCACGTGTAAATTATTATGTATCTCTCCCGCCTGCGCTCAAGGGAGTACAGATTTAGGCTCTTTAGTCGGTCCCAGTAATTTAGATGTTTTACTGAGTGGATTCTAGCAGTAAATCCCTAAAAAGTAAAGGCCCTAAAGGCCCAGTAAAAGCCCTAAATCCAAGTTTACTCAGATTTACTTTAATACTTTCTAATCATTTGTAAACATAGTTGATGCCTATTTTGTTACTTAATAATCAACCCCAAGCTCAGTCTTTAAATGCTCTTTGAGAAACAAGAATCGTCTTACGTCTGGCAGGGAAGATACAAACACAGGCACCTCGCCATGCGTCCCACTACTATAAAGTAATGTATTTAGCTCAATTTGACCTCTGGTTTCCAATTGAGGAACCCAGGGTCGTAACACTCACCTTGGGTGGGAGAGGGTGAGGGAGGGTTGAGAGGAGGGCCAGCCTCCCAGTACCAGGAGGGACTAGAGATGACGGTGGTCGTGGCCACCAACACCACTGCCCGCGGCCACCACCTCCACCTCACGCTGCTCCCCATACTGTAGGCTCGTCCACCACCTCTGTCACAGCGGCCTTCCTCACCATGCAACCCACAACAGTTGCCTTACTCCCGGGTGCATTTGTCCTGTAAGGTGAACAGAGGTATCAGATCCCACCAGGCTGACCGTCTGCAGTCAGCACGCTACAACAGTCGTCTTACTCCATGCTACATATGTCCTGCAAAGGTGAAGAGAGGCATCAGGTGAAAGTTTCCCCCAAGACCAACAACTCGCCTTCCCAACGAAGAATTCCATAAACATCTCCCTAACTAACCTATTTACTGATAGGTGAACAGAGTTATCAGGTGTAAGGGAAACGTGCCCAAAGGCTTTTGCCTTCCCTGGAATCAAACACGAGACCAATATGATGTAAACTCAACATCACTTGTGTGAGTATTTGTTGAATGCATTCATGCTTACCTGTTTTTTCTCAATTTACAACTCTATAACAAATACAATTGTTTTCCCTGACAAACATATAAACCCAAGCAATAGGCTATAAACCTAACTTATTAAGGCCTCAGCATAGAAAACGTCAATATTATAGTGTATTAATTTTTACTAACAACTGCAGCTTAAATTAGACCCAGCATGGAGCCCAATGTTACAAGAGGAAAGGCCAGAAGAAACAATGGTCAGTCTCCGTGGTGTAGTGGTAAGACACTCGCCTGGCGTTCCGCGAGCGCTATGTCATGGGTTCGTATCCTGGCCGGGGAGGATTTACTGGGCGCAATTCCTTAACTGTAGCCTCTGTTTAACGCAACAGTAAAATGTGTACTTGGATGAAAAAACGATTCTTCGCGGCAGGGGATCGTATTCCAGGGACCATAGGATTAAGGATTTGCCCGAAACGCTACGCGTACTAGTGGCTGTACAAGAATGTAACAACTCTTGTATATATCTCAAAAAAAAAATGGATGACACAGTGGCAAATATAAAAAAGATAAGAAACTACCATGAGGAACTAGTTGTGACAGAATCAATGGGGCCCAGACCTATTCTCACCAAAGTTGAAGAAGTACTTTGTCACTCATTATCAAAAGTTTTTAATAAATTCTTGAGAATAGAAATTTCCCAGAAGTCTGGGAAAAGTAAACTGGTCCCATTATTCAAAGAGAGGGATAGAAAGACGGCACAATATTATAGACCAGTTTATTCAGGCGATGAGTCACAATAACGTGGCTAAAGAATGTTGACCAGACCACACACTAGAAGGTGAAGGGACGACGACAGGCTTTAGTCAAGCCTGGCCTCGGGCCGGGCTTGGGGAGTAGAAGAACTCCCAGAACCCCATCAACCAGGTCGTGGCCCATTCTCACAATCGACTTGAGAATGGTCCAGGACGGACCGAAACGTCGTCGTCCCTTCACCTTCTAGTGTGTGGTCTTGTCAACGACCAGTTTATTTTTCAAAATACGTACTTGTGGCTTTAGGCATAGTGTACACTAGCTGTATCTAGAAATCACGAGAGAGTGGTGAACAGGATGGAGAGGTAAGCTGGGATAACTGGGTAAACACTGGACTGGTTAAGGGAGTACCTGGGTTAACACTGGACTGGTTAAGGGAGTACCTGGGTAAACACTGGACTGGTTAAGGGAGTACCTGGGTAAACACTGGACTGGTTAAAGGAGTACCTGGGTAAACACTGGACTGGTTAAGGGAGTACCTGGGTAAACACTGGACTGGTTAAGGGAGTACCTGGGTAAACACTGGACTGGTTAAGGGAGTACCTGGGTAAACACTGGACTGGTTAAGGGAGTACCTGGGTAAACACTGGACTGGTTAAGGGAGTACCTGGCTTAACACTGGACTGGTTAAGGGAGTACCTGAAGGGCAGGAAAGAGAGAGACACAGTCAGAGAGAAGGTTATAGTCTGGAGGACTGTAACAAGTGGGGTCCCACAAGGCTCTGTCCTGGGACCACTGCTCTTCCTAATGAACGACCTGCCCGAGGGAGTCAACTCAGACTTGTCAATGTTTGCAGCTGATGAGCAATGTAAAGACAGAGGATTGCAGGAAGTGACAGGAGGACATTGACAAACTCCACGAGTGGTCAAACAAATGATTGCAAGAATTCAGTCTCAAGAAGTGTAAGGTAATGAAGCTGGGGAAGAGAGAGATTAGCCGAGAAGACATCTTCCTGCGTCACAAGGGGAAGACAACTACGGGAACCAGAGAGAGAGAGGAACAGGTTTGGGAGTGGATATAGTCTCGACACTCACACCAGAGGCACACATGAACACGATAACATCGGCAGCATATGAGACGCTGACAAATATAAGAACATTTAGAAACCTAAATCAGGACTCCTTCAAGGCTATCTACACAACATTTGTTAGACCAACACTGCATTATGCAGCACCAGCATGGAATCCACATATACATTTATAGAGTTGAAGCATACATACACATAGTTAAAGTGTACATATATAGTTAAAGTGTACATACATAGTGTACATACATAGTATACATACAGAGTTAAAGTGTACATACATAGTTAAAGTAAACATACACAGTTAAAGTGTACACACACAGAGTTAAAGTAAATATTATAAACGTTAATAAATGTTATAAATAAATAGATGTACAAGAATGTAACAACTCATATATACAGATAAATAAATAAATAAATAAATAAATAAATAGTTAATACTAAATATTACACCAACACCACCATACATGACACTGAAGGGAATAGATAAGATGGACAAGAGTACCCTCTTCACACTGAAAGTAGGACAAGAGGACACAGATGGAAGCTGGAAATGCAAATGAACCAAAGGCATGTCAAGAAATACTTGCACCCAGTATAGGTAAGTCAACAAGTGACTGTACTACAAGAAGCTGTTGAGGCCACCTCCATTCTCAACGCTAAATTCGACAAGAGTTTGAACGTCAGAATACTTAAATTGTGTCTAAATTGTAACGTAATAGGTACAGCAAAATGAAGATAGCCCTCACTCTGCCACAGACACAGTCGTACTGTTAGGTAAATACTCAACTGTTTCTAGCGGCTGTTGCTTTCCTTCGCTGGCGGGCGTTTGCTCTCACAACACAGGTCCCGTTCTCTCATGAGGGGTAAACTCTTATATAGCCGCAATAACACGAGACATTATCGAAGCCTCACAACGGGAGCTAACCCACACTCCATGTATGGGGTTTGACTACCTTCCAGTTATCTTGTCATTGTGATGACCAAACCACAACTCTGCCTATATTCTACGGGCTCACCATAGCCCGTGCTGCTTGGAACTTTTGGTTCCAAGTAGCGAATCTTGAACAACAACAACAACTCTGTAGATTGAGTGACGTTTCGCGAAACGTCGTAGCTTGTTCATCTTCTGAGATGTAGTTTGGTCATTCTTCAGCCCCGTTATTGAGACTCATCGTTTGCATCTTATCATTAAATTGTTCTGTATCGTGGCAATTCATGAACAAATCCACAAGGGCCGTGACGAGGATTCGAACCTGCGTCCGAGAGCATCCCAGACGCTACCTTAATCTGCCTTAATCCTTAATGTTGATTTCTTCATTTGATGCATCACGCAATTGTGAGTTTGGTAACTCATTGATTTAATGCAAGTAGTGAGTAAGTAATTATGAAACTGAGTAATTAGTTTTATAAAATATATAGCTACAATTAAGCTGTTCCTTTGCATATCTTATAAATAAATTATTATTTTGTGCTAGGCATTTAGATTTGCAATTAATGTAATTTAATTAATGAAGAAGCACAATTTTAATTAATTACTGAATTACTTGAGAATGCCAAATATATCAGAGACATCACATTATAAATTCCTTTTAGTAAAATAATAACAACAGACTTTTGATAAAATGAAATCTTAGTTTGGTGTTGGACTTAGGCATATTAACCTCTGGAGGGCTGTTAAGGCCTACCAACCTCTGGAGGGGTTATGAAAACTTATCAACCTCTGAAAAGTTATTAAGGCCTATCACCCTCTGGGGATTATTAAAGCCTGGAAGGTTATCAAAGACTAACACTTCTGGAAGGTTATTCAACTCTGTTCTTAAGCCACAGTTGGTGGGTTTGTTCACTTGAGACAGTTAAGCAAGTCCCAGCTGTGTCTGGGTACAAGTGACAGCATGAACAACCCAGCGGGTTTTCTTCCTATTGGGGAGTGTTGTACATTCTGCTATGGCGGTGTGTCCACTCACAGGATGGGTGGCGCTGCCCAATACTGTCACTATGGTGGTGTGTCCACTCACAGGATGAGTGGCGCTGCCCAATACTGCCACTATGGCGGTGTGTCCACTCACAGGATGAGTGGCGCTGCCCAATACTGTCACTATGGCGGTGTGTCCACTCACAGGATGAGTGACGCTGCCCAATACTGTCACTATGGCGGTGTGTCCACTCACAGGATGAGTGACGCTGCCCAATACTGCCACTATGGCGGTGTGTCCACTCACAGGATGAGTGGCGCTGCCCAATACTGTCACTATGGCGGTGTGTCCACTCACAGGATGAGTGACGCTGCCCAATACTGTCACTATGGCGGTGTGTCCACTCACAGGATGAGTGACGCTGCCCAATACTGTCACTATGGCGGTGTGTCCACTCACAGGATGAGTGGCGCTGCCCAATACTGTCACTATGGCGGTGTGTCCACTCACAGGATGAGTGGCGCTGCCCAATACTGTCACTATGGCGGTGTGTCCACTCACAGGATGAGTGGCGCTGCCCAATATTGTCACTATGGCGGTGTCCACTCACAGGATGAGTGGCGCTGCCCAATACTGTCACTATGGCGGTGTGTCCACTCACAGGATGAGTGGCGCTGCCCAATACTGTCACTATGGCGGTGTGTCCACTCACAGGATGAGTGGCGCTGCCCAATACTGTCACTATGGCGGTGTGTCCACTCACAGGATGAGTGGCGCTGCCCAATACTGTCATTATGGCGGTGTGTCCACTCACAGGATGAGTGGCGCTGCCCAATACTGTCACTATGGCGGTGTGTCCACTCACAGGATGAGTGACGCTGCCCAATACTGTCACTATGGCGGTGTGTCCACTCACAGGATGAGTGACGCTGCCCAATACTGTCACTATGGCGGTGTGTCCACTCACAGGATGAGTGGCGCTGCCCAATACTGTCACTATGGCGGTGTGTCCACTCACAGGATGAGTGGCGCTGCCCAATACTGTCACTATGGCGGTGTGTACACTCACAGGATGAGTGGCGCTGCCCAATACTGTCACTATGGCGGTGTGTCCACTCACAGGATGAGTGGCGCTGCCCAATACTGTCACTATGGCGGTGTGTCCACTCACAGGATGAGTGGCGCTGCCCAATACTGTCACTATGGCGGTGTCCACTCACAGGATGAGTGACGCTGCCCAATACTGTCACTATAGCGGTGTGTTCACTCACGGGATGAGTGGCGCTGCCCAATACTGTCACTATGGCGGTGTGTCCACTCACAGGATGAGTGGCGCTGCCCAATACTGTCACTATGGCGGTGTCCACTCACAGGATGAGTGACGCTGCCCAATACTGTCACTATAGCGGTGTGTTCACTCACGGGATGAGTGGCGCTGCCCAATACTGTCACTATGGCGGTGTCCACTCACAGGATGAGTGACGCTGCCCAATACTGTCACTATAGCGGTGTGTTCACTCACGGGATGAGTGACTCTGCCCAATAAACTCGACCCTTGAGGCAAAAGTTTAAATTTAAATTTGAAAGTAGGTGGGTTGGTATTGAAATGGAATGGCGGGATGATAGGTTTAGTGGATGGGAGGGGTGGGTTGGCGGGGAGAGGGGGAAGCAGATGGCTAGGGAAGGGATAGTGAGGGGGTAGAGACGGTTGGGGAGGGTGAAGACGGAAGTTCTCCCCCCAGCTCCCATCATTCAGACCCGCTAGGCTAGGTACACACCCAACACCATCATTACTCAAGCCTAAATACTGTAATTTCGCAAAGTACCAGCTATCAGTATTACATAAGATATCATAAAGTGATATATATATCAGCCCATTCTCCTGTTAGAGTAGTACTTCTAGTAACAATGAAGATCATAGTACATATATATACTGACGTACAACGCAGTTATTAACTAGAACTCTGTACTATTGAATTTGGACAAACCGGAAAAAAAATTCTATTTAGGTTGTAAAGACAAACTAACCTAACCTTCCTAGGCCTAACACACGCTATTCGAGGCCTAATATATATAATTTCACACTGCTCCTCCTGCTTCTAATGCTGCTGGTGTCTACTCTATTTCCTGTTCATCTTGTCCTCTCCAATACTTTGGCGAAACTGGCCGTACACTGAATGACAGACTTAAAGAACACAAGAGAAGTGTTAAGTCTGCAGACACTAACAATGCTCTCTTCTGCCATGTGAGGGATTCTAATCATCCCATTGATTGGTCTTCCTCCAAAATAATCTTTCCTGCCTCTACTCTACACAGACGCCGTCTTGTAGAATCGGCTCTTATTAACAATGTACCCAACATGAACTTGAGTCCTGGCTTTGTTGCTGTGGACTCTTCCCTTTCACAGTATATACTCAAATGCTCTAATCTTTCTAACAAACGTGACTTAACATAAGCTTTCCCCCTTCCATTTCTTTCTTTCTCTTTCCTTTTCTTTCTCTCTTCTCCCATTATCTGTTCATTGTCTTCTACGCTCCCTTGCTATCCTCTTCTTTTTCCTATTACTTCTCCTTCGGTGGTTATAATAGGAGCTGCCTCGTATGGGCCAATAGGCCTGCTGCAGTTCTCATTACTACTATCCCCTACACCTGACTTTCCTCCTCAGCTCTCTCTTGCCTATTTAATGCCTGTCCCTACCTGTCCTCATCACAATCGACTTGAGAATGGTCCAGGACGGACCGAAACGTCGTCGTCCCTTCAATTTCTAGTGTGTGGTCTGGTCAACATACTTCAGCCACGTTATTGTGACTCATCGCCAGCATATATAATTTTTGTTTGTAAATATAACCCGGCCAGGTTTCAGTTTCATTTTTTTTTTACAAACCTTTAAGTTTTTATTCATTATAGTAATTTAATTTCTTATTTTATTATTTTCAAAATATTTTAGTATATAGAAAATATATTATACAGTGCGGTATTGTATTGATATTTTTTTCATTACTGTATTGCATGTTGAACCATGAAGGGCTCGGACGGAAGTGAAGGAGAGACTCCCTACAAGTGGAAAATCCTCCTGTGGGCGGTAGTGGAATGGGTTTCAGGGACACATAATGGACTCAGGGCCTGAACCCCAAACGTCATTTAGCTAAACAAGTTACAATCTTGAGGAGCTGGTTACAAAAGTGTAATAATGTATATATATCCTCACATGAACAATAGGCTCGAGACCGACCACAAGTACAGTCTCTTAGCTACGCAAGTTATATATGTGGAGAGCTAGTGTCACAATTGATATGTTTGTCCTGCACACCGCCCCCCATCCAGTGGGCAGCGGTGGATAGGTTACAATCACTTAGTTACTACCTACAGTTAGCAAACTGGCGATATTTGGCTAAGATTTCTGGTAGCAGATCATTTTGAATTAAATATTTACACATTTCTTTAAAATTTGTTATAGAATTGTGTCTAAATTCACATATCTTTTCGCACTTCGTCACATAGTGACGGAGGGTGTGCAAAGAATTTTGTTGACACAGTTTACATTTGGTCAGGTCTACATCAGCAGATAATGAAAATTTCCAGATGCTTATAACCGAGTCTAAGTCGACCACTAGTAACATCTAGGAGTCTTGATTTTACTGGATGATCCATAATTGTGTGGTTTGTGTGATAGTTTGATGTTAGATGGAATTACCTAAGAAATCGCATAGTTATGTAGAATTGTTTTCTTAAGCCCTAGACAGGCTAGGCTAGGTTCATCACTGACTTCATTTTCTCGGATGTCATTTGAGCTAATTTAGAAATACAAAACGCGAACATTGTTGGGGTCATGGTGACTATTTGTGCGCGTTTAACTAGTTATTATAAATAAGCCTAGGCGCTAGGAAGATGGTTTGCTGAAGACAATTGTCTAAAGGAATTTTCACAGCTGTGACAGACAGGCTCACTAGATGCTAGGCTATAAACTCAAACTCATCCCCCCCCCCCTTCCCTCAATATCCAAAGACGAGATTCGAACCTTTGCGGTAGGTAGTCCCACGCACACGCCCCACTCATAGGTTCGAATCCTCATCACGGCTCCAACGGATTTTCTCATTTATACATCACGCTATTGTGATTACTCTGTATATGAGCTCTGTATCCCCATTTAAAACAGAATACATGTCACGATGACCGAACTGTATTCACGGTGACTGTAATCCTCTCTGAAGATTAATCTACCTAATCTTGATATGTTTCTCACGTTTCAAATCATTTCAAGAGTTTAATTTCACGGGCAGTTATTTCAAGGCAGGATACGAATTTCCTTGTAAAGTTTCCCATATGTTGGGAGCCGTAAATGGGGGTCGCTGCCCCGAGCGAGACTTACCGGAAGTCATGGTCAACAATTACAGAACAGTACTGTGATTACCGTTGTATAGTGTGTATGGCCACAACATTACTGTTTTACACGTTGACTGTTTACACTTTTACAGTGCAGACCAGTTAACATGGTTTTATACATTATAAATCTTGAACATTAAATATTGTAAATAATAACGAACAATTTACAATGATAATCTACCTCAACAAGACTCAAATTCACGTCAAAGGAACATAACAGAAGTATACACTTATAGTGAATATTTAATACATGTATATACAAAATACAGATCTGTTAGCTGTTCAGATATCAATTACAGAAGTATGTATTTATGAATGTTACGTGAAGCCTCGCGCAGGCATTTGTCATAAGCCATTCTGAAGGCGTTAATGGGCATATTAAAATTGGTGAAACCCAATTGTGGTGTTCGGATGTGAGCTTTGGTCCGGACTCCTGTGACAAAACTGGTCCGGACTACTATGTCCGGTTGAGTCATCATTGGTCTGAACTAAGATCTAACATAAGAATGAAAAAAAAACCCCAAAGGCCAGAGACTTACAGGGCAGGGAGCGAGACGTCCTTCCCCGCCAACGTCTGGATACACACTGAGGACCCCCGCCTGTGCACCCAAGTTCTCGCCTCCTACACTAACTCGACCAATCCGTAAAAATTGCAACTTATTTGTACAAATTAAACCACCGTAATGTTGACGTTTTCTATACTTTGGCCTCGACAGCTTAGGTGGGTAATTGCTTGGGTTCGTCGACCAATCCGAAAACATTCCAAGGTGGTCCATAGTCTTAGCTGATAAATGGTCACTTTCAGTGGTTCATGGTCCCTTAGGATCCATGGGCTAGATTCACGAAGCAGTTACGCAAGCACTTACGATCTTTTCTCAATCTTTGGCGGCTTTGTTTACAATTATTAAACCGTTCTACAGCAGGGAAACTTCCCACTCAAATGTTTCTGTTGTTATAAACAGCCTCATGGCGCTCCCGAGCTCACACACTGTTTACCACCTTGTAAACAACGGCGCCAGAGATGTACATGAAACATACAAGTTCGTAGTTATTTGTTGAATCCTGGCCCGGGTGATGAACAAGCCTAGTGACTTACACCCGTCCTGATGAATCCTGGCCCGGGTGATGAACAAGCCTAGTGACTTACACCCGTCCTGATGAATCCTGGCCCGGGTGATGAACAAGCCTAGTGACTTACACCCGTCCTGATGAATCTTGGCCCGGGTGATGAACAAGCCTAGTGACGGTACTCATCACCTGCCTGTACGCCAATATACGCATATTAACGCCTTCAATACAAGTGGTCTTAAGAGTGATATTGTAACATAATCAAACGCAATATAATGTATCTTTATTATATACTTGAAATGAATAACATTTTACACGTTTATAGTTAAGACGCTCTCTCTCTCTCTCTCTCTCTCTCTCTCTCTCTCTCTCTCTCTCTCTCTCTCTCTCTCTCTCTCTCTCTCTCTCTCTCTCTCTCTCTCTCTCTCTCTCTCTCTCTCACTCCTCACCGGTCTTTCCCTCACGCCTCCTCACTCCCATATCTCTCTTCCCCTGATCATTTCTCTCCTTCATATGTCCATCTTTATCAGCATTCCTCTCCTCCTCTCCCTTCTTCTGTTCCCCTTTCTCCTGTTCCAGCATCAGCTTCCTCTCCTCCTCCTCCTCCCTCTTCCTCTTCTTCCTGGCCTTCGTCTCCTCGTCGTCCATAGAGCCATCGTCCTCGATGATAAACTCATCAAGTCTCTTCATCAAGTAATGATAGATGAGTATGATGGAGAAGCTCATCAGTAATGGTGGACTGCTGGTTAGTATCCAACCCTTGATGCTGTGGCAGAGGTGGGATGGTTAGTGGTGATTAGTGGGGTGGTTGGTGGTAGTTAGTGGGGTGGTTAGTGCTGGTTAGGGGGGGTGGTTTGTGGAAGTTAGTGGGGTGGTTGGTGGTAGTTATTGGGGGTGGTTAGTGCTGGTTAGGGGGGATAGTCAGTGGTAGTGTGTTGAGGCCATAAATATCGACATGGAACCCTCATCAGTAGGCTTTGCCCTAGCACTCGCTGGGAAAGTCCAGATACGCAGGTTCAATCCCATTGTATGCATCATGCACCACCTCCTGTTGATGTTCCTGTGCACACATCACCCCAATTTTACCACCAGATGGAACACAACACGTTAACAAGCTAATAAACCGAATACAAAATCGATATTAAATTGACCAAGTGCAAAATAATTATTATAGTGGGCGACTTGAATTACAGAGAATAAATTGGTCAACTTCTACAGCAGTTAAGTGGGAAACAAAGTGATTACTGTTGAGAAACAAGATTTAGGGGCTGTTCCAGTCATCTGAGAACATTCTAAGACAAAATCATATATTTTTATGTGACAAGAACTATATATTTAAACTGTTTTTTTAAATAGTTTAGGAAAAGTGGCGATATGCGTAACTTAATGTATGTTAGTGTATACGATACAGAAGAGGAGGATATACAGACAATTTATGTACCCACAAACTACTGCTCAAGCAGTTGCAAAGTACCGCTCATATACTATAATAATAATAATAATAATAATTTTTATTTAGGCAAAGGTACATACATAAAGAGATTTTACAAAGTTTGTTGGCTTTATAGATAGAGCTAGTACATACAATGCCTAAAGCCACTATTACGCAAAGCGTTTCGGGCAGGAAAAAACACTACTGACTAAAGCTTAAAACTAATGGGTAAAAAGAAAAAAATGCGTTGAGTACAAATAAAAATAGAGGTAAAAGAGGGGGGGAACATGGTTAAAAAAACAGCACAAATACAATTATAAATTATTACAGAAAATTACATTAAAACAGCTTTGATTTGAAAAAAAAAAAAAAAAAAAAACATACATGGGTTGACAATAGAGAGGTAAGGTAGGTTACAGGGAATTTATTAGGTATAGCTTCGTTTTTAACTTAAACTGGTTGAGAGAGGTACAGTCTTTAACATGGTTGGGAAGGTCATTCCACATTCTGGGCCCCTTGATTTGTAGAGCATTTCTGGTTTGATTAAGTCGTACTCTAGGAATATCAAAACTGTATTTATTTCTGGTGTGGTGCTCATGGGTTCTGTTACAACCTTCTATGAAGCTTTTGAGATCAGGATTGGCATTACAATTTAGCGTTTTGTATATGTATAGTACACATGAGAGAATGTGCAGTGACTTAATGTCTAACATATTCAGGGATTTGAGTAGGGGTACCGAGTGATGTCTGGGGCCAGAATTGGATATTGTCCTAATAGCAGCTTTGTGTTGAGTAATTAGAGGACGTAAGTGATTTTGGGTAGTAGAGCCCCAAGCACAAATACCATAGTTGAGATATGGATAGATAAGGGAGTAATAGAGAGTCACCAGGGCAGGGCGTGGTACATAATATCTGATCTTAGAAAGAATGCCCACAGTTTTTGAAACTTTTTTTGATATGTTTAGAATGTGTCCCTGGAAATTCAGCTTGTGGTCAATGAGAATGCCAAGGAATTTGCCATCTAATTTGTTACAAATTTGGGTATTGTTTATTTTGAGATTTATTTGATTAGAGGATTTATTGCCAAACAGAATATAGAAAGTTTTGTCAATGTTAAGGGTGAGTTTGTTGGCAGTTAGCCACAGATGGACTTTATTTAGCTCAGTATTTACTGTGGCATTTAGAGCAAGGGGATCAGGACTGGAGTAAATGAAGGTTGTGTCGTCAGCAAATAGGATTGGTTTGAGGTGTTGGGAGGCATTTGGAAGGTCATTAATGTAGATGAGAAAGAGGAGAGGGCCAAGTATGCTGCCCTGGGGAACACCAATGTTGATGGGTAGGGTGGGAGAAATTGTATTATTTACAGAAACACGTTGGAGCCTGTCAGTAAGGTAGGATTTGAGGTATTGTAGGGAGTGTCCTCTGACACCATAATGATGTAATTTAAGAAGAAGGTTTTGGTGGTTGACAGTATCGAAAGCTTTACGCAGGTCCACAACGACCAAACTACTGCTCAAGCACTCACAAAGTACTGTCCATATACCACCAAACTACTGCTCAAGCAGTGACAAGGTGCTGCTCATATACCAGCAAATTACTGCTCAAGCAGTCACAAGGTACCGCTTATATACGACCAAACTACTGCTCAAGCACTCACAAAGTACCGCTCAAGCGACCACAACCTACTACTCCATGCTCCTGAAGGACTCTGCTCCCAACTACTCACTTGAAAGGGTCGTCGGTGATTAAATACGGTTCCTTGACGACCCGACGACCAGAATTGGTGATGACAACGTCCCTCAGAGGCCGATCGTTCCAATCCGTGGCCACTGATTGGACCTCCTCGAGCACCGGCTCCCCCTCCACCAGCTCAAGGGCGAGGACATGGAACAATGTGACCACTTAAGTTATACTCGAAGTACCTCCTTGCGGGGACAGGTAGCCTGGATATATATTTATATCGAGATCTACCCCTACAAGGTGGAACCACTGCCCCCCCCACCTCCACCCAGGATGCAACCCACAACAGTTGCCTAACTCCCGGGTACCTACTGACTGCTAGGTGAACAGAAGCATGAGGTGAAAGGACATGTGCCTAACCATTTACGTTCCGCTCGGGAATCGAACTCGGGAATGTGAGTCGACAACATAAGAGGACTGTCATTACTCTCAATATGTAAATATACTCAAGGTATACTGCCGGTGAATGATAGTATGCTGAGGTATATTAGATTACGTGGAGAACTCGAGGGATATACTAGTATATATGGGGGTATACTGAAGCGGGCAGGAGTGTTTTGGGGGTTCTAGAGTGTATGAGTATACTCGGGGTATACCAGGGTATAAGTATACTCGGGGTATACCAGGGTATGAGTATACTCGGGGTATACCAGGGTATGAGTATACTCGGGGTATACCAGGGTATGAGTATACTCGGGGTATACCAGGGTATGAGTATACTCGGAGTATACCAGGGTATGAGTATACTCGGGGTATACCAGGGTATGAGTATACTCGGGGTATATCAGGGTATGAGTATACTCGGGGTATACCAGGGTATGAGTATACTCGGTGTATACCAGGGGTATGAGTATACACGGGATATACCAGAGTATAAGTATACTCGGGGTATGAGTAAACTTGGGGTATACCAGGGTATGAGTATACTCGGGGTATACCAGGGTATGAGTATACTCGGGGTATACCAGGGTATGAGTATACTCGGGGTATACCAGGGTATGAGTATACTCGGGGCATACCAGGGTATGAGTATACTCGGGGTATACCAGGGTATGAGTATACTCGGGGTATACCTTGCCGAAGACGACGTGTTGAGTATTGAGCCAAGGTGTGGATATCGTAGTGATGAAGAACTGGCACCCGTTCGAATCCTTCCCTGAAACGTACTAGACGCACTTAACACACACTTACGACATAATAATATACTTACGACACTCTTACGCACTCATCACACGTATGACACGCTCACACACACTTCCGACACACTCACACACTCAACACACACACACACTCACACTTCCTACACACTCACACACACTTCCGACACACTCAACACACACACACACTCACACTTCCTACACACTCAACACACACACACACTCACACTTCCTACACACTCACACACTCAACACACACTTCCGACACTCAACACACACTTCCGACACACACTCACACTTCCTACACACTCACACACTCAACACACACTTCCGACACACTCAACACACACTTCTTATTAGTAAAACAAGGCAACAAAACTAAATTTATAATTAGAACACGGTTTACAAATTGTGCCATACGTAATTGTCAGTTTTATGAATTACATCTGAGAGAGAGAGACAGACAGAGAGAGAGAGACAGAGAGAGAGAGAGACAGAGAGAGAGAGAGACAGAGAGAGAGAGAGAGACAGAGAGAGAGAGAGAGAGAGAGAGAGAGAGAGAGAGAGAGAGAGAGAGAGAGAGAGAGACAGAGAGAGAGAGAGACAGAGAGAGAGAGAGACAGAGAGAGAGAGAGAGAGAGAGAGAGAGAGAGAGAGAGAGAGAGAGAGAGAGAGAGAGAGAGAGAGAGAGAGAGAGAGAGAGAGAGAGAGAGAGAGAGAGAGAGAGAGAGAGAGAGAGAGAGAGAGAGAGAGAGAGAGAGAGAGAGAGAGAGAGAGAGAGAGACAGAGAGAGAGAGAGAGAGAGAGAGACAGAGAGAGAGAGAGAGAGAGACAGAGAGAGAGAGAGAGAGAGAGAGAGAGAGAGAGAGAGACAGAGAGAGAGAGAGAGAGAGAGAGAGAGAGAGAGAGAGAGAGAGAGAGAGAGAGAGAGACAGAGAGAGAGAGAGAGAGAGAGAGAGAGAGAGAGAGAGAGAGAGAGAGAGAGAGAGAGAGAGAGAGAGAGAGAGAGAGAGAGAGAGACAGAGAGAGAGAGAGAGAGAGAGAGAGAGAGAGAGAGAGAGAGAGAGAGAGAGAGGACAGAGAGAGAGAGAGAGAGAGAGAGAGAGAGAGAGAGAGAGAGAGAGAGACAGAGAGAGAGAGAGAGAGAGAGAGAGAGAGAGAGAGAGAGAGAGAGAGAGAGAGAGAGAGAGAGAGAGAGAGAGAGAGAGAGAGAGAGAGAGAGAGAGAGAGAGAGAGAGAGAGAGAGAGAGAGAGAGAGAGAGAGAGAGAGAGAGAGAGAGAGAGACAGACAGAGAGAGAGAGAACTACGTAATAAGTCTCAAAGTACATTCTTAAGAAACATAAACGGGTCTCTAAGAGCAGGCTTCAGATGAGCTGAGGGAGGATAACAGCTCTTGCTTACAGTTTGACTAAGTCCACCATTCGACAACCCTTATGAACCATATTCTCTGTTAAAAAAGAAAACCAAACCAAGGGGGGACTCACCCTTGTTGGACATGCTGAGGAAGCCCGGAGCACCGTGTTTGACGATGAAGTTCTCATCTGGGAAGGTTGTGCCGTATATAGAGATGCTCCCCTTGCCGTCTCCACTCACCACGTCCCCTCCTGCAACACACTCCCTCATGTTATATATAATATTACTTCATTCACTGGGATCACCGAGATGCAGACAGGTCTCAATAGTACCAGTCCGCCCAAGCAGGCCATGGACGCTCACAGTGAGTAGGGATCCAGAAGTACCTAACATTAACTGGTACCCAAGGGAGACTTTAAACCATCCCTGGAGCTATTAATATATTATATATATATATATATATATATATATATATATGAGGCACAACTCTCCTAAACACGAGAGTGAAGTTATACAACTTTAGAACACTTTCCCACCAGGAGACTCGAACCCTAGCCAGCACAGAAGCCTTCCAGCAACTGGCATAACAGGTACGCCTTAACCCGCTCCACCACCTGCTCAGACCCTTAAAAGAGATGGTAATTTCGGAGTATTTATACACACCAAAGACCACCATCTCTTTTAAGGGTCTGAGCAGGTGGTGCAGTGGGTTAAGGCGTACCTGTTATGCCAGTAGCTGGAAGGCTTCTGTGCTGGCTAGGGTTCGAGTCTCCTGGTGGGAAAGTGTTCTAAAGTTGTGTATGTGTGTATATATATATAGCCTTTTTTTTAAACATATTTCGTTGAAATCGACACAAAGTTTTAGCTTTACGATTCTGGCAAGAATCTTCTCGATATGTTCTTATATTTTATATTTTTCTTCACTAAAGCAGGAAGTTGCAAAATAACTCTTCAAAAGTTCATTTTTTCTTTTTATTGGGTCTGACACCTAAAAATTAACTTCGAAGAGTTAATTTTTCAACTTCCAGCTCCAGTGAAGAAAAACATAATACATATCGAGAAGATTCGTGCCAGAATCATAAATCTAAAACTTTTTGTCGATTTCAATAATATACGTTTTCGTTGAAAATGGCAGAAGACGGGCATTCTGTCAGCCGTCTTGGCTGCACAGCTTTGGAGAGAGATGGGCCTGGGATGAGCTAGATCTTTGGGTTTTGGGACCGGCACTATGTCTGCTCTATTCCAAGCTGTAGGTCTAGTTTGAGAAGTCCAGGCTAAATTAATTAACCTTAATGAACAAATCTACAAGGGCCGTGACGAGGGTTCGAACCTACGTCCTAGAGGATCGGACGTAGGTTCGATACCTACATACCTAATTAATGTTAGGTATACAGCGTCTTCCTCTGGGCCTAAGTTCCTCATCATTTTATAGGTTATTTTGTCATCTCCGGGGGATGTATCTCAGGAGTTTGTCTTAGCACGATTGAGCTCATCCAGTGTGAAAGGGGCATTTCAGTCAGAGACTTCTATACAAGCTGTTAGGATTCTGTGCCACCTTTCTTCCTCTAATCCTTCCTGCCTGCTGGTACAGGATGAGTACTGCTAGGTGGAAGCTGAGTATACTGGGACTGATACTTGCTTTAGTATATGATCTATGATCATCATTCTTCCAACGCTGGCTCCGGACCTCCCGGGGACTGTACGTTGTTTTACATTCAGCTACTCAGAACGAAATATACCATAAGGGAAGTCAGGTACATAATACAAATAGGTGAGGAGTACAACGTAAAGGAGGGAAGAATAGGGCATAAATGGGGGAGGAATAAAGTGGGAAAAAAAGGGATGAAGGGCATACATTAATCAGGTGTCGTGGGCGTGGCGTGTTGAGCAGTGTCGTCACCCTTGGCATCTTCACGTTCCGGTCCTGTTCTGTACTGTACAACCCCTCGGACTTCAGATTAGTTTAGTTGTTTGAGACTAATGTTAGGAGCAGGAACGTGGTAGAGAGAGTGCTTCTCCTTGCACTCCATGGTTGCTCGGGTCACTAAGGTCTAGTGTTCTGTATGGCTTCCTCCTCACCCCCCTCCCTCACTCACTCACACACACACACACACACACACACACACACACACAGTACGGCACAGTACACACACACACACAGTACGGCACAGTACACACACAGTCCCTAACCTGCATACCATGCAAGCTGACGGAGAAGATTGTGCGAAGAAAGCTAGTGGAACATCTGGAGCGAAGGAACTTTGTAACACAGCATCAACATGGGTTCAGGGATGGCAGGTCCTGCCTCACAGGGTTACTTGAATTCTACGACCAGGCAACAAAAATTAGGCAAGAAAGAGAAGGGTGAGCAGACTGCATATTTTGGGATTGCCAGAAAGCCTTTGATACAGTACCACACAAGAGGCTAGTGAAAAAGCTGGAGATGCAGGCTGGAGTGAAAGGGAAGGTACTCCATTGGAAAAGGAGTACCTAAGCAACAGAAGACAATGAGTCACTGTGAGGGTGAGGTTTCCGATTGGCGAGACGTCACAAGTGGAGTCCCGCAGGGGTCAGTCCTTGGACCTATACTGTTTCTGATATATGTAAATGATCTCCCGGAGGGTATAGACTCGTTTCTCTCAATGTTTGCTGATGACGCAAAAATTATGAGGAGGATTGAAACAGAGGAGGATAGTAGGCGGCTACAGGCCTGGACAGATTGAATGAATGATCCAACAAATGGCTGCTCAAGTTCAACCCAAGTAAATGCAAAGTAATGAAATTAGGCGGCGGAAACAGAAGGCCAGACACAGGATACAGAATGGGAGATGAAGTACTTCATGAAACGGACAGAGAGAAAGATCTAAGGGTTGATATCACACCAAACCTGTCTCCTGAAGCCCACATAAAAAGAATTACGTCTGTGGCATATGCGAGGCTGGCTAACATCAGAACAGCATTCAGGAACCTGTGTAAGGAACCATTCAGAATCTTGTATACCACATATGTAAGACCAATCCTGGAGTATGCAGCCCCAGCATGGAGCCCGTACCTTGTCAAGCACAAGACGAAGCTGGAAAAATTTCAGAGGTATGCCACTAGACTAGTCCCAGAACTAAGAGGCATGAGTTACGAGGAAAGGCTGCGAGAGATGCACCTTACGACACTGGAAGACAGAAGAGTAAGGGGAGACATGATCACTACCTACAAAATCCTCAGGGGTATTGACAGGGTAGACAAGGATAAACTCTTCAGCACGGGTGGAACACGAACAAGGGGACACAGGTGGAAACTGAGTACCCAAATGAGCCACAGGGACGTTAGAAAGAACTTTCTCAGTGACAGAGAAGTTAACAGGTGGAATGCATTAGGCAGTGATGTGGTGGAGGCTGACTCCATACACAGTTTACAATGTAGATATGATAGAGCCCAGTAGGCTCAGGAATCTGTACACCTGTTGATTGACAGTTGAGAGGCGGGACCAAAGAGCCAAAGCTCAACCCCAGCAAGCACAATTAGGTGAGTACACACACACACACACACACACTCTCTCAACTCAATTATCCACACCTGAGAACCAGTACTACCAACCCCCTCCCTTCCCCCTAGACCCAGGACTACCAACCCCCCACCCTTCCCCTAGACCCAGGACTACCAACCCCCACCCTTCCCTAGACCCAGGACTACCAACCTCCTCCCTTCCCTAGACCCAGAACTACCAACCCCCACCCTTCCCCTAGACCCAGGACTACCAACCCCCACCCTTCCCCTAGACCCAGGACTACCAACCCCCACCCTTCCCCTAGACCCAGGACTACCAACCCCCCACCCTTCCCCTTAGACCCAGGACTACCAACCCCCCACTCTTCCCCTAGACCCAGAACTACCAACCCCACCCTTCCCCTAGACCCAGGACTACCAACCCCCATACCTGCTTACCTTGCACCATGAAGTTCTTGATGACCCTGTGGAAGACGGAACCCCTGTAGGAGTAGCCCTTGTAGCCCTTGGTGGCGAAGGCGACGAAGTTGGCGACGGTGCGCGGGACCACCTCGCCGAAGAGGCCGAAGACCATCTCTCCGAGGCGCCGCCCGTCCTGACTTACCTCGAAGTACACCTCTTCCGTCACCTTGAACTCTCGGCTCTCCTGGACCGGGTGAGATGAGGGAGCTTAGGTGAGTTTGGTGAGCTTAGGTGAACTAACGTTAGTGAGGGGAAGTAATTGATGAATATTGAAGAGGTTTTGAGAGCTTTTCTTTACAAAGGGAGAGTTTGACGAGTATAGGCGAGTTTAACAAGCATAGCTAAGTTGACAATGAGCTATATAGGTGTATATTAAAGCTTTAGGAGTTACGTGAGAAATGAAAGCTTAAGTTCAGATGTTAGGAGAGGTCTGAGGGTGCTAAAGTAAGTTTTACCAAACACTGAGCGAGCAGCAACCATGGGAGCCATGATGGATCAAGCTTGCTGTGATGGTAGGTCCCTAAACCCCATGGCAATGTTCGGGGTGGAGTTGTGGCAAGACTGTGGCTTGTTGTGCAAGAGGAGAGGTTGGTGAGTGGCCAGGTGGTACCCTCAGGTTATGACGCTTCTCGTGGGGGCTAAACCGTTACATTTTGTACGGAGTGGTAATAGAGCGCGCCCTGTGACCTTACTGGGATCTCCAGACAAGCCTACAGTATATATATATATAATACAGGCATCCTGTCCCCGACAATAGAAGGTGTTATATTGTGTGAGGATTTCGGTATTCGGTAAATTCGGTAAAGCAGCGTTTTCCTCTCACATTGTTTAGAATGTGTTAAGATCTTTATTTGACAAGATGGTGGCATCATGTAGTTATATCTCTTTCCCCTTCTATTTACCTGCCTATTCCTTCTCTCCTTCCCTCCACCCTTGTTGTTATTATAGATTCAGCTACTCGGAACAAGTTCCAAGTAGCACGGGCTATGGTGAGCCCGTAACTTACCTGGCACAGGAGCGGGGCAAGTGGCACGGGCTATGGTGAGCCCGTAACTTACCTGGCACAGGAGCGGGGCAAGTGGCACGGGCTATGGTGAGCCCGTAACTTACCTGGCACAGGAGCGGGGCAAGTAGCACGGGCTATGGTGAGCCTGTAGTGGACTCACCTGGCACAGGAGTAGTGTTAACCCCCCTCCCTCCCCCCGTTCGCTCCTAGTTTTATATTCTCGCTCACCTCTCTTCCTCAGTCTTCCCTGTATTCTATTCATTCTTTCCTCACTCCTCTTCCCTCACCTCTTATTGTTTCTTCCTTCCTCTGTCTCCCTTCACACCACCAGACGAAGACCATCAGCAGTAGAAGAGGGGTAGAGAGGACAGAGCAGGAGGACCCATAATCACCACACCAGAAATAAATCTCTCTTTGATATCCCCAGTCAAACTTAATCTGTGTAAACACTCTATGCAACTAAAGGGACCTAATATATGGAACTCACTCCCTAACGAATTGAAAAGCTGTCCAAATTTTGCCTTATTCAAAAGTAAAACAAAAAAGCACCTAATTTCATCCTCATAGTTTCCTACCTTGTGCTTTAAACTCTCACTGTATCTTGTACTGCTACCCACTCCCCCAATATATATGTGTGTGCCATAACCATACAACTTCACCATTGTAATCACTGCTATCATCTTATATCATGATTATTATATTGAACCTATATTTCACTACAATATACCTAGAAATAATCCTCAAATTATGCTACAATGTACCTCTTGATACTCCTCAAATTATGCTACAATGTACCTCTTGATAATCCTCAAATTATGCTACAATGTACCTCTTGATAATCCTCAAATTATGCTACAATGTACCTCTTGATAATCCTCAAATTATGCTACAATATACCTCTTAATAATCCTCAAATTATGCTACAATATACCTCTTAATAATCCTCAAATTATGCTACAATGTACCTCTTGATAATCCTCAAATTATGCTACAATATACCTCTTGATAATCCTCAAATCTTACTATAACGTACCTACTAATCTTCTTCAAATTTTCTTACAATGTACCAGTTAACATTTTTTCAATTTTCCTAGTAAATACCAACATAAAATTATCTTCCTGATTACACAATGTAACAATTTTTGTTCCTGGAAACTAAATGTTTTTTCTGACAGCCTAGGCCTCCAAGGTGTAGAAAATGGTTGTTAATCCCTTCTGAAGCTTTGCTTTGATGACTCTCACGACAGCTTAGGGAAGAGGTCCTCAAGACCACTTAGTGAAAGGATCAACGCACTGCTCCTCAAGTCGGCCGCTTTCAAACCTCTCCAAGACGTCTCCTCCACGCTGTGACAAAGGTCACAGCAAACCTTGAGAGAACTAACTGTCATTGTCTTCACTCCGAAGGCCCATAAGCGCCCAGAAATAACACTACCCCACTATACCTGCCTGTTGAAGATTCCCGGGGGTTAATGTCCCCGAGGCCCGGTCCCTGCCCCTGCTGTGGTCTGACGCCACCAGAGCAACAGACCAGGAAGAAACACAGTGTGGGGTCACCACTTACCTTCTGTACCCGGAGTCACAGCCACATCGATGCATGGAAAATAAATTGAAAAAATGTGTTAAATACACAAATAACTATTCATTATTATTATTATTATTATATTATTATTATTATTATGCCAGAAATGTTGTGTAATTAATGGGTTTATATAATATACAATTACTGTAACTATACACCACTGTAACTACAGACCACTGTAACTACAGACCACTGTAACTACAGACCACTGTAACTACACACCACTGTAACTACAGACCACTGTAACTACAGACCACTGTAACTACAGACCACTGTAACCACAGATCACTGTAACTACAGACCACTGTAACTACACACCACTGTAACTACACACCACTGTAACTATACACTACTGTAACTACACACCACTGTAACTACTGCCTTTCTAAGTCTGATACACAAACTATTATTATTATTATTATTAGTTATTATATAGGTTATTAGAGTGGGTAACCGGCATTGCCCGGGTGCTGTCTGCAACAGCTCCCACTTGTGTGTGCAACATTGAGCGAGTTATGGATTCTGACCCCGAGGTCCATCTCTGCTACACCCAGCTGCAAGGTTGTGCTGATCTGGTATTTGTGATGTGAGGTGTTGTCACCCGCATGGAAGGTCTTGATGCCTCGCTACTAAAAACCATCTTGTTTGATAAATTTCCACTGGTGATTCAACTTAACGAGGAAATCCAAACTTTTTAGCCAATATTTACCTGAATTTACCCGAAGGGGCCACTAATACTTAATAACAATGCTACAATGTACCTCTTGATAATCCTCAAATCTTACTATAACGTACCTACTAATCTTCTTCAAATTTTCTTACAATGTACCAGTTAACATTTTTTTCAATTTTCCTAGTAAATACCAACATAAAATTATCTTCCTGATTACACAATGTAAAAATTTTTGTTCCTGGAAACTAAATGTTTTTTTCTGACAGCCTAGGCCTCCAAAGTGGAAGCAAAGCCGTGGGCTTTGACAAGAAGCCGACGGCTTGGCAAACTCCCCCTACCCCCCATTTGCCCTGATGAAATATCTTTGATTTTTAGGTTGCAGTCCGGTTGTTAAAACACCAAACACCACTCTCTGTTGAGTTATATTGATCCTGCAGGACTATCCTGACCTATGGGTGAGATGCCATAGTGGATGTGCTCGCCTTAAATTGCAAAGAGGTTGTAATATGTTTACCCTATTACCTATTAACTGATAATTAATTACCTGGTTGTAAAGAGGTTTGCCCGAAACGCTATGCGTACTAGTGGCTTTAGGCTACTACTAGTGGTATGTACAAGATCTATCTGTAAATCAATCAGAATGTGTAACTCTGCATCTATGTATGTACTTTTGCTAAATAAATTATTATTATAATATGTGTCCTGGTACCAGGAGGTAGGGCGGGGTAATCGGTTGTCCGGTGGTAAACAGATTGGCGGGTCGTGTTCTAGGGCAAACAGTATAGCAGGGTAAGGATTACCACGAGGTATGGGAAAGGAAACCTCTCGGCCTGCTAGCAGGAGTCAGCATTAGTCCTGTGTAAACAAAATATAAAGAGGATACGGCAAGTCGTTCTAAGGCCGTTGGCACCAGCACAAACCTGTCACCAGGGAAGGCTGGCCACAGACCAGACAATCACCAGGGAAGACTGGCCACAGACCAGACAATCACCAGGGGACGCTGGCCACAGACCAGACAATCACCAGGGGAGGCTGGCCACAGACCAGACAATCACCAGGGGAGGCTGGCCACAGACCAGACAATCACCAGGGGAGGCTGGCCACAGACCAGACAATCACCAAGGAAGGCTGGCCCACAGACCAGACCAATCACCAGGGAAGGTTGGCCCACAGACCAGACCAATCACCAGGGAAGGTTGGCCCACAGACCAGACCAATCACCAGGGAAGGCTGGCCACGGACTAGGCTGCGGAGGCACAAAAACTTTGGAGAGTCTACAGGTAAAATAAACAGTTGCATACCACTACAACACTTGGTGTACTCACCATCAGGTGGGTGCCCACCACGTACAGCGACACCACTGTGATAGGGATGGAAATAACAATCATGAAGACCTTTAATAAGGAGACGTTGGGAAGTCTGGTCGCCATGTTGGAGCGGAGCTTGGCCCCGGACCCACTATATATATTTTCACACTGCTGACGCCCGGGGGACCTCTGTGAGGCCTCGCCTGCTGTGCCGCCGGCACACTGCACCTCCGGTATAGTCTCCTTCGCCAGAAATTGTTGGTTGTAAACCAAGTAAAATTTGAGAGAAATTTGAACTTTACACAAGCCAGCTCTATAACCCCCGTCCTAGGCTTCAGGGGTTTCTATAAGCACTGGTTTTGAGGAGTTAAGTTTGCGTGCAATTTTGCATTAGCTGGTCAGCAGGCTGCAATGATTCTTTAGGTAGATGAGTATGTTGAGTGGTCCTCAGACAGGCAGACAGAGCGGGCGACGTCCTCCCTCGCCTGTGACCAGCACACAACTAACTCCCTCTTCCCACTTTCTATTAAATACAACTTTCTCTCTCCTCTTCCACAGTCCCTAATTTTCTTCCATCTCCAACTGATAAATATAACAAATATTGCTCTCCTTAGCATTTATATCACAATGAATATCATTTACACTGCACTTCAAGATAATATGATGAGAGTGGTAGCGGTGAAGTGTGGGAGGCGGCGGAGAGGGGGCAGCACCGGCTGGGGCCACTACTCTAAGGCTTCACTGATGCAACAAAGGCTCCCACTTGCAGCAACTCAACATTATACTTGTATTGATTTACTCACAGTTCTCTAGCCATTTTGATACTGATTTGGTGTTGGGCTTAAGGCCTGTCAACATCTGGAGGGCTATTGAAGCCTATCAACCTCGAGGGTTATTATGGCCTATCAACTTCTGGAGGGTTATTGAAGCCTATCAACCACATGCGGGTTATTCAGCTCTTCAACCTCTGGAGGGTTATTATATCCTGAGGGGCCACTGAGACTCTAGTGGCCTCAACGAGGACAGGAAGCCGTTAACTTGTCAAATGTCCTCCCGTTTGCCCTTATGATTTTTTTCCAGTTTGATTTTAAAAGTTAACAGTTTGGCCATTTACGGTTTGGACGGGTAAGCGGTTCCATGGGTTTATAACACTGTGAGTGAAAAAACATCTGTTCTCAGTCCTATCCCTGGAAACACAAACCGTAACTGTCTCTATTTTCCGCTTGTTACAACTTGTAATAAAGTTGTTGCATCTTGGCTTAACGTGTTTATGACGTATTAGAACGTTGTTACAACTTGTTATATTGGTTGTTATAACTGGTTAGGTGGTGTTAAAACTTGTTCGAACGTTGTACCAACGTCGTAGTTTCGATGTGTGTCACTGTGGCTTGTTGAGCTTGAAACCGTTGTTCCTTGTTTGCGTTACATCTGACCTTTGGAAGAAATCGGCCGCGTCAACATCCTATAAACTGTTCAGTATTTTGCAAGTTTCAGTGAGATCTGCTCTGTAATGCCAGAGTTACACAACTGAATCACGTTTAAAAGTTCCACCGGGCAAGATGGTATTTCCGATATATACTGTAGTCAATCTAGGGTTATGATCTGATAACAAATCTGTTACAATAGATGACCTTCCCTAGTGGGTCTTGCAGACGTTCTTGTACAATATTTCACTACAAGGCTGCCATGCGCACATTATAGTGGGCTGCTGGGTAACACAGAGGGACGCTCTGGTAACTTCATACAATGATGTTATGTGTTTGGGGGGGGGGGAGTCACTGAGATGTGAGCAAATGTTTGTAAGGCAAATGCTCCTATAGCGGGGATGGCCTGTATTGTATTGTCTTGCCATTTACTGCTACAGTGGCTACAAATTCAATGGGTTTATAACCCTGTGGGTGAAAAAGCATCCGTTTTCTGTCCTACATTGTGGCTTGTTGAGCTCAAAGCTGTTGCCCACTGCATGTGTTACATATGACCTTTTAAAGGATTGTTCTGGATTAATGTCTTCCAACTTGTTCAGTATTTTAATGATCTTCATGAGATCAGCCCTGTCGTGTCTGGTTTGTAGCGGTGTTAGTCCTTTGACCCTCAACGGTTCCTCGTATGACAATTGTTTTAGTTCTGAGCTGATTTTTGTCACTCTTCGTTGACTCTTCAGCTGTTATATTCTTTCGAAGGTGAGGAATTATTATATTGATAAGGCATACATCTGCGGTGACCCATGATGGTGGTGCATGCCTGCTCCAAAGATGTTCTCTGTCATAACTTATAGGGCGAGCTGAGCAGTAAATTTTATTTACTTATATATATACAATTCTTGTATTCTTATAAGAACAGACGGTTCAATCATAACATTCAGCACATGGTAATTCAAACTCTGTTATTATATGACAATCTCCGCATAATTTATGTTGACACATCTACTTTAAAAAAATATATATTTTTGTGAGCATATGGAAGGGTAATAAGACACACATTAGTAATAAAAACAAGAATATTATTAATATCCGAGATGGCAACACCTCCAACAAGGGGGGGGGGGGAAATGTTGCCATATTGTACAGAAAACTCCCTCGAGTTATGACCAGACAGAAAAATAGATCCTTGAGAGAAAACTGGTCAAGTTTGTGGGGGAGACTAGTGCGGATATGAACGAGTGCTGACTAGCAGGCAAACTGGGTCTACAAGCAAAGAATGAAAATATATAAAGGCACAAAGATGCTCATCTTATTTCTGAAATGACGAGTTGCAAGTTGTGGAGATTTTTGGCAGTGAAGGTTCTGAGGTGAGGAAGCTACCATCTACATATCTACCGTCTACCACCTGCGGAGTACAGGAAACACTATACCAGGGTTCTTAGCTGGGGGATCCATACACATTTGGGGTATGAGACTTTATCTCTGAACAATAAACAAATTATTCCATGTTTGGGTTAAACAAAAATAACAACAAAACTCTCATTAGTGAGAAAATCAACTGAAGCTCTAAAGTGACTCGAACCCAAGATCACGGCACCGCCAGCCTCAACCACTGTACCACCCTGACTTGTGGTAGTACAAAGGCTATGACAAGTGGCAGAGTTTGCGGCTCGCAGTACCTTGGCTGCGGGTTGGAGTCACCTCAGAGCCCCACTTGATATTCTCACTGATATATATCACGTTGCTGCGATTTATCTGTGTAACCCCATTAGTTGTAGCTAGCTTTTGTTTGTAAATTGCCAGTTTTCTGTAAATGTGATAAAAATCTTTATTATATTCTTTCAGCTGTACTACTCCTAGCTATTCATAAGTAAAATTGACTTATTGACATTTATTGAAGTCCTACCTGATAGTACCTGATTGTACTTGGCGGTAGTGATGATTTTAACAGTCTGGCAAAGGGGGGTATAAGGACATATTGGCTAATATACTGTGAGTTGGGGGACATATTAGGTAATCTGTAATCATAAAAAGGTTAAGAACTCCTGGTTTATACTATGGCACACTGGGTTAGGTTTTTGGTCTCCATATGATGCTGTCTCTCCATAACATCTTCTGCATGAGAGCATCTAGGTAGTCGTCGGAGGCTGTGGGGTTGTCCCTGAAGACCTTCTCGCAGGCTCGCTTGTACTTGTGCAGCTCTGTCACCAGTGTCTTGGTGTACATGGGGTCTTTACTGGCGTGTAACGTCGCCGCGTTGTAAGGGAAAGTCCTCACCCAGTCCCCGCACCTCGCTGGGCACCGTTGGGGGCCCCGACCTCCTTCACCTCGGCGGGATGAGTTCGGCCGACTGCGGCCTGCTAGATCCAGCACCTGGTTCTCTCGGCTGTTATTGGCCAGGGGTATGTAGTTCCTGCTGGTTTGATTGTTGATGAACTGACGACGCACGCGCTGGAATGTTGTGTTGAAGGTGAGAGGCACGAAGGTGTCTAGACTGAGTTCCTCCGGCACGAGGGGGTCGTGAGGGACGCCTGACAAGGAGGAGATGGACCGCCTCCTGCGAGTCGCTCCTGTGCGACCTGATGCTGGCACACCTTTTGCGTTAGGGATCCTATGGGAGTCTTTCCTGCTGGCGACACGATAGTTCTCAATGCTGCAGGTGCCTAGTAAGGCCCGGTGGACGTCTCGGGGTGTGTTGGGTGTTCTCAGTTCTCCGCTGCCCTCCTCACAGTCCTCACACACACTGCTCCGAGGCTTCCTTCCTCTCATATGTGGCCGGAACACCTGAAAACTCTCCATGAGTCTGCTGTACTGCTTCAGATCCAAGGCACTGAAGATATCGTGGTTGAGGATGGCGACTTCTCTCTCACTATCCTTCTTCTGCTTCTCACGGGCTAGGAAGATGAGGACAGGTGGTCTGAGCCCTCGTCCCAAGGGCTCAGCCACCTTGGGCGGTCCCAGCAGGTCAAAGAGGTGGTGAAGCAGCGGCTTTTTGACCACACGGTCGACATCACAGTCGTAGCTCAGTGATGGGCAACGGTTCACCTCCAGCAGTGATGGTGTCAGTGTGTCATCCACCTGTAAAGTAATACTGGCTTACTGTCACCGCAGACTGACACGAGTGGAAAGATAAAATGACACACAGAGAAGTAAAAGAACATATACAAACAAAGAAATATAAAGAATCAAACACACAAAAAAGTATTAAGAAACACTCAAACATAGACAATAGGATCGAAAGAATCAAACGTACCAAAAAGATCGAAAGACAGACAAGCATAGATGATGGAGAGATAGAGACACAAATGACAAAACTGAGACAGTCAACATTGACAGCCTAAACACAACAAACAAATCAGTACAAAAGAAAAAAAAGGGACAAAGAAACAAACAAATGAACACGCTCCAAAGATGAATCAGGTTTAGGGTGGTGCAGGAGCAGGTTGGAGGTGAAATACGGCACCAGACTGTGAAACAGAGCGCCGAGGAAGTATTGACACTGAACGCAAGCTGCAGAGGCTCCACCAGCGCCACCTGATAAGAGCCGACAGTATTTGCCATAAGATATCAACCAAGAAAGAGTCAGCAAACAAAGGAGAGCGTCACCTGCTCCGAAACTGAAGAAGAACAATGTAAGGAAAGGAAGTGGTGAAAGGAGTATTATTAAGAAACCTTATATTGCTGCCTCGAGGAAGCCCGCAGGTTTTCTGCCTCACAGGAAGCCTCCATCATCCATGTTTTGAAACTTTTTGATCATTTGTTTACATTGTTGGGCGGTTCATGAGACTTTGATCCATTCTTTAGCCAGCTGTGGTCTGTTTTGTCTTGCTGACTTTCTAGGTGCCATCCTTGATGATGGCATAAATATGGCTGTCACTGCTCCCTGTGCCTCTGTGAGGGGTGAGGCCGGGTTCTAGCTCTTGGTCCCTGGTAGGCCAGATAGAACGCTATCAGTGATAGCATTCTCTATCATGGTTCCCTATCAGTGACAGTAGCTTCAGGGACCCACAAGGGGCTCCCACAGAACAAGGTGGTACTTTAACTCTCATACTGCTTGAATATCTGTTATAAACTTTCTTCTGTCTTTAATTCCTATATGCAATTTTACGCACCTAGTTAATTATATATATCCCTCAGGGGTCAACAGAGGAATCATTCGCTCTGGGAAGCCAGCCATTGCCTGCCCATCTTGAAAATAAATTGAGATCCGGTGGATGTGATGATATGACTATATTCACGAGGCACACAAAATGACTGACTCACACACTCCGACTGACTAACTGGCATCTCCAGGGAATGTTGAAATTTGGATTTTTTTTATTCTGGAAAAAACCACCGATGGCATAGTAATAGTTAATGGCACTACATGAGATAGTAATGCCGTGATTGACTGCAGTTCGATCACAGGAAGAAAGTGACGCACTCTTCAAGAAGATCACAGGAAGAAAGTGATGCACTCTTCAAGAAAAGTTCAAACATAATCCGTTGTGAGATGTTAGAAATGTTTCTCATTCATAACAGGTTTAGCGACTGGATTAATGAGCATTTGGCAACCCGTCCTCGACTCAAGTCCATTCCCTCCAGCGGTCGACCCCACAGACGCATTCATAAATTTTAACATGCTGTTCATTCAAAACGGGAATTTTCTCAAATATAAATAAATATTAAATTATATTAGCATATTGTGCATATATAGGCGTAGGTTAGGTTAGGTGTTTAGGTTCTGTTGGCGATTTGTATTTGTAGTACGTGGGTGAAGCATTTATAGCGTTGTGCTTCGAACAAAATTCGTCAGTGAAGCACTTGTTCCGGAAATGTTCGAACGAAATCAGTTGTGAGTCGTGTGTAAACCTTTTTCATTCATAAAGAGCGGGTTTGGCGGGTGCATGGAATCACTTTTGGGTCTGTGTTTGGCGGACGGGCTGCGACACTCACCAGGATATCGAAGCCGTAGAGCTCGAAGCAGTTGTGATGGTGTGGAACATGGCCGACCTGTGTGAGGAGTGTAAGGGAGACCAACACACACACCCGCTGCCACAATAACCAGTCCTTCTGACCGCTCCCACTAAGGTACCGACGAAGCTCTCCCATCGTCCACTTACACCCTGAGACGGGAACGATTATATAGCTACAAAATTATGCAAATTATACGCAATTCATGTTAATGTAATCATTTATTTCTCAGAGTAAAACGCTAGAACATAAGCATTGCAGAAACATGTTGAGTTTATCAGCAAAATCTAACTAAAGAAGCATTGTTTATTTAGGAAAATAATCAAGAAGTTATTTAAGGATTATATATTATTAGCCACACCTTCAATCTGATCATATTAATTTTTACTTAAGCTCTTAACTATAAAAAATAAGCCATTTAGACTAAAGCTGGTGATAAAATCTCGTCTCCTTAGTCATGAATATAAGGTAGATTTATTTCAAGTTAGATTAGGATAGAATTAATTTTTATACAAACGAAACATTTAGGAATAGCTGAAGTTATCTGCACTAGGTTTATTAGGTAATGTTAATTAGCTTTATATTGGGTTAATTAATTAAGAATAATGTTATATATAGATATGGTTTGTTTAGACTGAATATTCTAATGAATTAAAAAAAAGTTAGTTTGTAACTTAAGGTAATTTTGTTATGAATTTACGAGCACTAGGTTAGGATTTAGGTGATTTTTTTCAGACTATTTATTTCTTGTTTTCTTTACGGTAGACTAAACTAAGTTAGATAAAGCTGCTGTAATAAACGATTTAGGTTAAGGTTAGATTAAGTTAGGTCGAGGGTTGATTTAGCGAAGGTGTATGGCGAGGCTGGAGGCGGGCACTGACCAGCACCGACTCTCTCCTTCTCTATCCTGTAGCCCGGAGCGAGCTTGTTGAGAGACGTGTTGGTGAGGTGACTGAAGATGTTGTCAAGAGCCGCCAAGCTGTACTTCTCGGTCCCGAACCTGTGAGACCCGTTCACTGCATTCAAACATTTTATTCGGAAAAAAAGAACAGAAGAAAATTAAATATAAAAAGTCAAATATTTCATGTTAATTATAATTTACAGAGAATGTCACAATAAATAAATAACCCAACATATGTATACGGTGTATGAAATGAGAGTGAAAGTGTTTCAGTCTGTTATGGACCATTATGAAGTTAGTTATGTTAGGTTAGGTTGGGTTATGTTAGCCTGATTTCATGCCTTTCTTTCCTACTTACCCTCTCACCTCCTCTCATCTTATATGGGCTCCCTTTCCCACTCCTGCTTGTGAGGAGTAACTCTACGGGCTCACCATAGCCCGTGCTACATGCACATTTCGTTCTGAGTAAATAAATCTAAAGCAACAACCACTCCTGCTTTGTCACAACTAGATAAGGGTCCAGGATGACCAACCACTCCTGCTTTGTCACAACTAGATAAGGGTCCAGGATGACCAACCACTCCTGCTTTGTCACAACTAGATAAGGGTCCAGGATGACCAACCACTCCTGCTTTGTCACAACTAGATAAGGGTCCAGGATGACCAACCACTCCTGCTTTGTCACAACTAGATAAGGGTCCAGGATGACCAACCACTCCTGCTTTGTCACAACTAGATAAGGGTCCACGATGACCAAAATCTCATCTCTTTCATTGACCCATTTTATTAAAATTTACAAGAACTTTAATGATCGGTGTTAGCTACATTTATTTAGCCAGTTGTATTGTAAGTATGTTTACACTGTGGTCTACATGTTTACACTGTGGTCTACATGTTTACACTGTGGTCTACATGTTTACACTGTGGTCTACATGTTTACACTGTGGTCTACATTGTTCTTAATCCTAAAAAATTAAATATGCACCACATGCCCAAATATACAGACACATGAGGATTAAATAAAAACTTTCCAATATATGAATATGTTACGAGCTATATATGTTAGTAGTTACGAGTGACAATGTTATTAAACAAAAAATTTCAGTCCAACAAGTCCCCAGGACCGGATTATTTGTCAGGATTCCTAAAGAATGTAAACATGAGCTGAGTCCTTGGCTTGGATATTTAATTAATCATTAGTCAAGACGAGTACTGAATTCATGGAGGGTTGCTAATGTGGTGCTCTCTTTGAAGAAAGGAGAGAAAGATCACATGCTGTCAGCCAGTGAAATTGAAATTGAAATTGAAATAAGTTTATTGAGGTAAAATACACACAAAGGGATGAGGTAGCTCAAGCTATTCTCACCCCGTCAGCCAGTTAGCTTAACATCTATTGTGGGAAGATTGTTTGATTTAATAATTGCAAAAGCCATCCATACACGTCTTGAAAAACACAGATTAATAAAGATTAAAACAGATTAATAAAGATTAAAACACAGATTAATAAAGATTAAAACACAGATTAATGAATGGTGAATTCACCACTTTCTGAAAGTTGCACAACAGGTAGGGGCAGCAGACAAAAAAGTTAACCAAACCCTTGGAATAATCAGGTATACCTCTGACTTTAAGAAAAGAAAGTAGTGATTCAATTGTAAAAAATTCTGGTGTGCCCCCATTTGGATTACTGTATCCAAGTAGGAGACTCGTCTTCAGAAATACGTACAGAATTTCATATTAATTACATTCGGATATTAATTTCAGTTCCTGAAAATTTCAAAGATTTACTCCTTAATTTAACTTTTTCTTTTTGTATGATTCAGAGAAAACATAAAGTAGACATGGGTGACTAAATAAAAATAAAAGACATTCTCGCACTGAATATTTTGAATGAATGTTTCTTGAGCGATGGTACCGTATGTTCCCAAATTCTTCTAACTAATGTTTTTATGTATATTAAAAATGTTATATTGGTAATTTTAGACATTTAAAAGCTGAACCACATATTCTTAAATTTTAGAAAGGTGAAAAAAACGTCATATAACTTCAGCAGCACTGTAAGGGTTAAAATCTGTGACATGTAGTATGCCTATGCCAGTACTTATCATAGCATTTTGTTAAACTATGTGACATAACTTTCCGTTTAAGTTTCTTGAACAAGACAACATCATAAAGTAAAATTAACACTAAATATATAGTTTTTAAAATAGTACGCTTAAAAATATATAAGTTTTAGAGCCTATGTTCGCAACTTGGTGATATTTCACTTGCTTTGTAAAATACAGAATCTATTTTAACTAATTTCAACATAAATTATTTATCTATTCAATAATTGCATTATATTCCATGACAGACGGAAATTATTAAAATGCTCTTAACAGGTCCTTATCTCCAGATTAATGTTTTGATAGTGGTTACGGGAATCACGGCGCAGTATCTCCTTTATTTAACCAGATATATATTAAGGATTTGTTTAAAGATGGCAGTGTAATACATGGTATATCTGAATATAGCAGAAGAATAGATGGCATATATGAATATGGCTCTGGGATTTACATGAATTTATCTGAGGGCTACTATCTCTTTAGTGGCCTCGACGAGGACAGGAAGCTGGCAGCTTGTCAAAAGTCTCCCATTTGACCTGATGATTTTATCTATTTGAATCTTAAATTGTTGCAGTGTTTTCGCCTTTACAGCTTCAGCGGGTAGGCGGTTCCATGGGTTCATGATCTTGTGGGTGAGTAAGCATCTCATGTTTTCTACATTGTGGCTTGATGTGATTAAAACTGTTGCTCTTTGTTCCTATTATATCTAACATTATTAAGAAGTGATCTGGATCAATATCCAGACCACTTTTTCCATATTAAACATAAATATAAAAAAATCCAGTTTTTCATTATATTACAAGTTTCGATGAGATGAGACTTGTCATGTCTGGTTTGTAGTATTGTTAGCCCTGTGGCCCTCACCTGTTCCTAGTGAGATTCGACCTAGTTGTCGTGGCATGAGATCGACCTGGTATGAGAATTTTTGTCGCCCGGTGTTGAACTTTCTCCGAAGCACCTATGTCTTTCTGAAGATGAGGTCTCCATGCTTGGATACAACGGTCCACGTGGGCACACTAAAGGTGTATACAGTTGAATAACTTCCTGCTTTTCCCTGAATTCAAAGTTATGTCTGACTATTTCTAGGGTTCGGCTGGCTTTATTTACTGCCGCTCTCACTATGCTGTGCAACTTTCAGTGAATGGTGGATTCTAACTCCAAGGTCTTTTTATTCATTAATCTGCTGCAATATAATGTTGTTAATTTGGGAGTGTAGCGTGGGTTGTTATGCCCTACATACAAGGTCTTGCATTTGTCGATATTAAAAAGCATTTGCCAGTCTTCTGACACATTTGTAGAGTTCATGTAGATCTCTCGGTAAAGTCTCAATATCCTTCTCTCTTCCCACTTTACCATAGATCTTTGTGTCATCTGCAAATCTGATGATGTGGTTTGTAATATTCTCAACTGTCTTGATGTATATGACAAAAAGTGTTGGCCCCAAAATGGATCCCTGTGGCACCCCACTTATCACATTTCTCCAGTCAGATTCATTCCCATTAAGGACAACGCCGTTCTTTTGTTTTTACCATTGTTCTATCCATGGCATATTCATGACAAGACATATCTTAATATGACAGTGGCACACATGGTATATCGATGACAAGACATATCTTAATATGACAGTGGCACACATGGTATATCGATGACAAGACATATCTTAATATGACAGTGGCACACATGGTATATCGATGACAAGACATATCTTAATATGACAGTGGCACACATGGTATATCGATGACAAGACATATCTTAATATGACAGTGGCACACATGGTATATCGATGACAAGACATATCTTAATATGACAGTGGCACACATGGTATATCGATGACAAGACATATCTTAATATGACAGTGGCGCACATGGTATATTGATTATATGTCAGTGGAATACTTGACATATCCGAACATGCTAGTAGTTATGTTTGTTCTAAACGACAGTAGGTCAGTCCACTCTGCCAGAAACACTATGCGTGTTAGTGGCTTGACGAGACTGTAAGAACACCAGTGTTATGTTCTCTCACAAACATATTGTAACTTCTTGTATATAAATAAAGTGATGCCATTAGTTTATATGATATACACAAATATGGTTGTGGTATACTCGAAGATGGCGTAAAGTAGCCAAAGATATCAGATGACATACCTGGAGATGGTGCAGAATACCTCGAGAGACCAGAGACATACCCAAAAAAGACACTAACTGGCGCCCAACCACTTGGACTGGACGGTAGAGCGACGGTCTCGCTTCTTGCAGGTCGGCGTTCAATCCTCGACCGTCCAAGTGGTTGCGCTCCATTCCTTTCCTCCGTCCTATCCTAAATCCTTATACCGTCCAAGTGCTATAGTCATAATGACTCAATGCTTTCTCCTATAAGTATAATACTGTGGTTAAGTGTAGTGCCAGAGAGCAGGGTGCACACGACCTACCTGACGATGCCCTCGGTGTACATGTAGACGGTGAGGGGGAGGAAGGAGGTGACGAGGACGTACAGCCTCACGTCACACTTGTAGCCGCCCACCAGCAAGGGGTTGTGGATGTACCGCTGGGCCACGGCGCTCGACGTGTAGCTCAGGTCGTGCAGGTCCTGTCGTACACGCCATGTCTAATTACCATCTTATTGATTATTTACAGTTTGTATTGTTCTTATTATTTAGACGGAAAAAGTCACAATAACGTGGTTGAAACCTAGAACCCAACTCACCCTTCGGAAAGGAAATTGACGACGTTTTGCTCCATCGTGGAGTTCTTGTCAAGTCCTGAATTTACGTGAGGCCATCTTTAGTGGCCTCATCTGGAATAAGAAGCCCTAAGGGCTACCATCTCTAGTGGCCCCGACAAGAACAGGAAGCCGGCGGCTTGTCAGAGGTCCCTCCATTAACGTTGTACCCACCAAAGGGCTTAGGTGGGGTGAGCCGGGACGTTAATAAGACTCATCAACACCACCTCTAGTCCTGTACTCACGCCATAAGGACGTCCTGTTACTCTGACCATAAGGCTACTAGAAACCGCTCTTACTCACCTGGAAGATGGAGATCCCTCTGCCCTGTGAGCTACCAATAGGTTTACAGATCCATATGTTGTGTGGTGGCGAGTCTTCACTGGCCTGTCCCGGCGTCTGACCCGTCGCGGGTGACCCCGGGAGACCTGACGCCGGGTAAGCGGGTGCCACACCAAGGCGGATTGCAGGAGAACGGGAACTAATTAGCTTGGGTTTACGAACTCATAAATACTTTTATTTTACATTAAGGTTTAAACAACGTTTTAATATTTTATACTACCTAGATAACTCTAATTTTACATATGATAAATTATATATATTTTAAGATTTTGTCATTACAAATTACTTGATATTTTTAAAACTATTCAAGAATTAATATAAATTGGTTAGGTTATATTCAGTGAATTATCATTCATATTGTTTACAGTAAACAGTTTACGGATATCTGAAGTTAATGTAAGGGATAAAACTTTATAAAGGTTAGTTTTCGTAAACAAAATTTGTATTATTATTACATCAACCAGAATGATCACTACATTCAGTACCTGTGTTTCCGGATGGACTCTTGGACCATTGATCTTGCTTGTTATGGTACATGAGTCGTGTGTACTCAGCCACCAGCTTGGTGTACTCGCACGGCAGCAGGTACGTCGCTGGGCTGTCAGGCGAGGCATACATTGAGCCACGCTTGCAACAGATTTAAGGGAGTTTGCAGGATATTTTAGTTACCGATTAAAGAGAACCAATGTTGAAAATAGAAAACTAGCGTCCGTTTTCTTTTATATTGCAATGATTAATGATAAACAATTTTGCTTATTCACGGGATACATATAAATAATTATCAATATTACCTCCATAACTATTATTATTATTTTTTATTTTATTATCCCCTACTATTATTGTTGCTTTTGTTTTCATTATATTTATTTATTAACATACTTGCCACTGTATGGAAGAACGCCATGATCATAAGGGAGTGTTGGTGCTACTCCGAGGATACATTAATCACCTGCGTATTCTTGCCTTCCAAGTTAGCAGTATTATGACCATAGAACTAAGCCAGAACCCACTTAAGGTTCACCATAGCCCGTTCTATTTGGAACTTTGTTCCAGATAGCGATTCTTTAACAAAAACCTAGAAATTGCTGTAACTCAGGATACTACACGTATCCTCCTGGTTAGATAGTGTTTGTGTAACCATTGGACATATTAATTGACGTAATGAATAATTAGATAGTAGAAATTGGTACTTCTCGCTTTATAGCGCCCAGAAAAAATAAAGCTAAAGCCAAATTTAAATATTCCTACGCTCAGTATAGTACTATATAAGCCTCAGATTTTGCATATTATGCTTAAGATGGATAGGATAGGTAAGATTTTATTTATACAAACATAGATACGAAATCTTTTCTGATTTGTCCAAATTAAATTGTACCAAATTCTACTTTCTAATTGTTCCATTACGTCAATAAATGTACGATGGTCCACATAAGTACAACCTGAACAGGAGGACGGGCTGGGATATTAGGGATGGAGATATAGGGACCTAGGCCTCAAGGAAAACGGTCTACAAGGGCCGGATTACGGGTAGACTCACATAAAGTCGAAGACGGAGCCAAAAATGTGCTTCATCTTCTGTAGCGCCCTCGCTAAGCTGTCCTTCTTGCAGAGACCGTTGGCGCGGGGAATGTGGTTGATCACCTGCATGCCAACAACACATAAATTAACTATGCTGGTATTAAATATTTCCGTAAAAAGGATTAATTAAACATTTCTAATCTTAATCTTTGCATGAAACGATGCACGTGATTATAGGGACTTTGATAAAATATGTGAATATCTATGTACAGTTGGGATTCGGCACGTTTCCAATCACCTAATGCATCTGTTCACCTAGTAGAAAATAGGTATCCGGGAGTTAAATTCTTGTGGGATTGCATCCTAGTGGTGGGGTCAGTGTAGGGCTTGGGTGCTCTCAGAGACCTGCAGTATTCACCTAGTGTTCATTTAGTGCATACAGTTGCAAGTTGCCCTTGCAATAGCCCTCACGTTGAGTTACCTAAAGAGCCAACAACAAGATATCGATACGCCAGTGGTTGAAATAATGACACGAAGTAATGATCTGTTCCACTATGATATCGTAATCTTGCACTGGAAACGTTGTCCTGTCCAAATGGCTATCGTTAGAGGGCATAAGATGCTACGAGGTCATACATCAAATTATTTAAATGATGCAAGGCTATGATGCTGCTCTACCCTTGAGATGGTGTCAAGAAATATTTAGTGAGTAAGGGAGTCAGTCGTGTGTAAGAGCAGTACAGGCAAAAGGTATGATTGAAAGTGTAACAAAATGATAGTTTATTACATAAACAACAATATCACCTTTATTCCTTTACCTTAGGAGAGAGTATCACTGGCACAAAAAACTATAGAGTGAGCATTACCAAGCAGGATGATATCGCACGGGGCATCCGGATAACACCAGAATCTGGATTTCCACGAGAATCTGGATAACGCCAGAGTCAGAATTTCAATCAAACTCCTAATATCGTGGTACACATGATCACTATCACCGTTAATATGTTTATTTGTGATGTGTTTCTATGTATATATTAACACGTTGTACTGAACGGGGTGAGAATAGCTTGAGCTACCTCATCCCTTTGTGTGTATTTTACCTCAATAAACTTATTTCAATTTCAATTTCAACTATCACCGCTCATATTCATTACAATGGCCGACTTCTTTGCGCTTAAAACATTTTCTGTTATAAAAACAGAAAATGATAATGGTGTCACCATAGACTGTTACAAAAGCTTCCACTGTAGATTTTTATTTATTTCTTAGGGAAGGGCCGAAGAATTGGAACTCATATATCATGATCATCATCGGGTTAGATGTGTACACATGTAGAAGTACCGACCTAGGGTCGGGTATTAGCTCCTAGACCCGCCTTCCAAGCATACATAGCCGAATGTAATGACTGTTTCCATGCTTATCTTATTGTATTTGCATTTAAAATTGTGTATTGGGTAACCGTCAATAATTTTTTGGTCAACTAATTGCATTATTGACAGCGCTAAAACTGAAGAAGTTCTTTCAGATAAGTCTTTAAGTGTGTATAATTCCCATCTTCGCCCCCTCGCTCTGCTAGTGCTAACTTTGAACAATGCTGCCTTATACTTTGTCAATCCTCCTCGAATCTTTTATGTCACTAGAATATGCTGCCTCCTCTCATCCTGCGTGTGGAACTCTAGGTCCCTCAAGTCTTTCCTCAGAGTTCATGCCCATCAGCTCAGGAAGGAGTAGCTGGTTACATATCTTAAAGACCTTTCTTAGTTTTGTTCATCGTACTGCATGCTGGTTTCACGTAGGTTGCAAACAGAGCCCTAAAGATTTCTTTGTTGTATTTTCTGAAGAGTATGTGGACGTTGGCCGGTTAGCATAAACTGCTGACTATATGAACAACTGTCTGGAACGGGTCAGTTGACCCTCCGGACTTGCATTTATTGTTGCGTTCTTGTGTTATTTGTGGCATAGTGAGTGCTTCTGGTAATTGATGTGGGGTTACGTTTTCTCCCAAGTTATTCTCTTTCTTATTTAACGATGCAATAATCTCTTCCCCCCCCCCTCTCCCCCTTTCATCGTATCTTGCTGCACAAGTCGTGTCTCTCCTGTTCCAATCCTAATAACTTTACATTTGGATGGGTTATAGTCTAGCAACCATGTTTCTGAATGTCTCTGGAGGGTGTTGACCTGACCACACACTAGAAAGTGAAGGGACGACGACGTTTCGGTCCGTCCTGGACCATTCTCAAGTCGATGTTCGACTTGCATCGACTTGAGAATGGTCGAGGACGGACCGAAACGTCGTCGTCCCTTCAGTTTCTAGTGTGTGTGGTCTGGTCAACATAGTTCAGCCACGTTATTGCGACTCATCGCCTGCAGTCTGAAGGGTATCCAGACAGCTATACCCTCTGTATGCACTGTATGGCATAGCAGTCCTCCTCAGAGTTGATTTTCTCATTAGTTTTGCATCGTCTGCAAACATCGGTACTGTAACGTTATGTTTGTATTCACCATTGAAACGGAATACATACAATCTGAACTAGTAATGTTTCATTATATTATATTGCCATATTTCTTATAGAGTGTAACCTGGTAACACCGGCCTTATTGTTTTGGTGTCAATTGTACCGTGGCACTGACTACGGTGGCACGGGACACTTGCTGCCACTTGCCACATTGGACTGATGCCACTTACCTTGAGGTGGTTACCTTGAGGTGCTTCCGGGGCTTAGTGTCCCCGCGGCCCGGTCGTCGACCAGGCCTCCTGGTTGCTGGACTGATCAACCAGGCTGTTAGACGCGGCTGCTCGCAGCCTGACGTATGAGTCACAGCCTGGTTGATCAGGTATCCTTTGGAGGTGCTTATCCAGTTCTCTCTTGAACACTGTGAGGGGTCGGCCAGTTATGCCCCTTATGTGTAGCACTTCCAAACACTTTTTTTTTGAGATATATACAAGAGTTGTTACATTCTTGTACAGCCACTAGTACGCGTAGCGTTTCGGGCAAGTCCCTGAAATACGATCCCCTGCCGCGAAGAATCGTTGTTACAACCAAGTACCCATTTTACTGTTGAGTTAAACAGAGGCTACAGTTAAGGAATTGCGCCCAGTAAATCCTCCCCGGCCAGGATACGAACCCATGACATAGCGCTCGCGGAACGCCAGGCGAGTGTCTTACCACTACACCACGGAGACTTCTCCTCCTCGGACCTGTAAAACAGTCCCCCACCACCATTATGAAAAGTTAGGTATTCCAAGATTGTTCAATTTTGGAAACGTTCTTGAGATAATTACTAATATTAATTGACCGCTAATGGGTCATGCGGTCTTCTGAGAAACATTTACACCTCAGTTACTGGTTACTAGAGGTTTATCCCTCAATAGACCTAAGCCAGGCCTATCCCCCTATAGACCTAAGCCACACTTGACCTTAAGACGAGGGCTCCAGTTCCTTAATGTGTTACGGCGCTGCTATCATGCTATAGACAAAGTAGGTGGAGCCGCTTGGGCTCTGTTGTTTATACTCGCGGGGGAGTGTACTGGCCGGGGGACACTCCCTTCACCCCAAACACTGTCTTCATATAGGAAACTCAGGGAGAAAGGGAAGAGTGAGGAGTGAGAGGAGAGAAGGAAGAAGAGGAAGGGAGAGGCAGAAAGGAGAGAGAGAGAGAGAGAGAGAGAGAGAGAGAGAGAGAGAGAGAGAGAGAGAGAGAGAGAGAGAGAGAGAGAGAGAGAGAGAGAGAGAGAGAGAGACAGACAGACAGACAGACAGACAGAGATATATAGAGAGAGAGGGGGGGATGGGGAACCCCCAGAAGGTCACCTGGATGCCCCCAAACCCGTCGTGGGGTAGACTCGTCGTGCCTGGACCCCACCTGGACCCCACCTGGACCCCTGGGGCGGTGTTGCGAGCCAATTTCCTCTCTCTCAGGTCATGGCCGTCTACCAGCAACGGCTGAAGCGCCTCAGCGCACCCGTTGGTACCCTCCAAAACTCTCACTTCTCACTGTCACTCTCTGAATCCTGTCTGTTAGGTACTCCCTCACCCAGCACTCTGCCACTACAGGGTATACTCACCTGGTATCCTGTAGACTCACCTGGTAGGGCTTGAGTCTCCTGTAGACTCCTGGAGGGAAGCCGTGTCTCCACCAGATGTTCCAGGAGGGTCCGGGGCCGCCGCCCCCCTCGTCCGCCCCCTCCGTCGCCCCGTCCCATACTCTCCACCCCCTCTCCACACACACCTGTCGGGGGGCAGGGGCACTCATTTTATATATATATATATATATATATATATATATATATATATATATATATATATATATATATATATATTAGTATATTTTGGTAGCAGTCTTTCCTGTAGACATATATTATTAAATATGACCGAAAAAGTAAGATTAATAATTCTAACACGAATTTTCTCAATCTTTCGTACATTTCTTTTCACTGTTGGAGGTAAATCAAAAATCAATTCTCCAAAATTCATTTTTATTTCTAGTCTGACGCGACACGAGCGCGTTTCGTAAAACTTATTACATTTTCAAAGACTTTAGTTTACAAATACACAACTGAATAAAACTTACGTATCTCCGATTTTATATCTACATTTGAGTGAGGTGGATGGGGTGAGGTGGCATTAATAGGGTATTAATTTCATCAACACAAGACAGAACAAGAGGTGGTATTAATAGGGTATTAATTTCATCAACATAATAATTTGTTGATGAAATTAATACCCTATTAATACCACCTCACCCCATCCACCTCACTCAAATGTAGATATAAAATCGGAGCTGCGTAAGTTTTATTCAGTTGTGTATTTGTAAACTAAAGTCTTTGAAAATGTAATAAGTTTTACGAAACGCGCTCGTGTCGCGTCAGACTAGAAATAAAAATGAATTTTGGAGAATTGATTTTTGATTTACCTCCAACAGTGAAAAGAAATGTACGAAAGATTGAGAAAATTCGTGTTAGAATTATTAATCTTACTTTTTCGGTCATATTTAATAATATATGTCTACAGGAAAGACTGCTACCAAAATATACTAATATATATATATATATATATATATATATATATATATATATATATATATATATATATATATATATATATATATATATTGCTAACCACAGAAAATGTGTATAATAACAGTTCATTCAGGTGGGTTATGGGAAGCTGGAACCAGCGCTCACCAGAGAGGTATAGCCAGCAGCTCTTAACCGCCATGCTACTGACCACCCACAATAAGGAAGCATGTCAAAGATACACAACTGGGGCAGCCAGTTGTGTAGTGGGGCTGCTGATTAGCAGTTTGTTGACGTGCTACGTGATTGGTCGAAATTATTAATTGTCCCAACTGGTGTTTCAAGTAATGATGTAACGAGTACAAATAAAGAAGAGGGGGGGGGGTGGTTGATGGACAATTAACCTTTACTGCCAGCTCACTAAAGATTGTCCTGTTAACTTGGTGACAATCACAGTACGTGGAATTATGTCAACTTTAAACACAGATAGTTTAGGGTTAAGGAAGCACACTAAAAATATCAAATTATCTTGGTTGAACAACCTTGAAGGTCAGTGAACCACTACCAGCACATGGTTCAGCTCTTGTACTGAACACGTCGCAATAACGTGTCTGAAACACGTCAACTCACCCATAATTATCATGTGAAGGACACGACGATTCCGTCGCTTTAGGACCCTTATCAAGTCGTGTATGTTGGGTTCTCTGTCTGTCTGTCTGTCTCTGCGTGTCCCTGTCTGTCTGTCTCTGCGTGTCCCTGTCTGTCTGTCTGTCTCTGCGTGTCCCTGTCTGTCTGTCTCTGCGTGTCCCTGTCTGTCTGTCTCTGCGTGTCCCTGTCTGTCTGTCTCTGCGTGTCCCTGTCTGTCTGTCTCTGCGTGTCCCTGTCTGTCTGTACTCACCTAGTTGTGCTTGCGGGGGTTGAGCTCTGGCTCTTTAGTCCCGCCTCTCAACCGTCAATCAACAGGTGTACAGATTCCTGAGCCTACTGGGCTCTATCATATCTACACTTGAAACTGTGTATGGAGTCAGCCTCCACCACATCACTGCCTAATGCATTCCATTTATTAACTACTCTGACACTGAAAAAGTTCTTTCTAACGTCCCTGTGGCTCATGTGGGTACTAAGTTTCCACCTGTGTCCCCTTGTTCGCGTACTACCAGTGTTAAATAGTTTGTCTTTGTCCACCCCTGTCAATTCCCCTGAGAAATTTGTAGGTGGTTATCATGTCTCCCCTTACTCTTCTGTCTTCCAGGGACGTGAGGTTCGGCTCTCTTAGCCTTTCCTCGTAGCTTATACCTCTCATTTCCGGGACGAGTCTGGTGACATACCGCTGAATCTTCTCTAACTTTGTCTTGTGTTTAACTAGGTATGGACTCCAGGCTGGAGCTGCATACTCCAGGATTGGTCTGACATAAGTGGTATACAGGGTCGTGAACGATTCCTTACACAAGTTTCTAAAGGCAGTTCTTATGTTGGCCAGTCTAGCATATGCCGCTGATGATATCCTTTTGATGTGGGCCTCTGGGGACAGGTTCGGTGTGATATCAACCCCCAGATCTTTCTCTCTATTTGACTCTTGCAGGATATCACCTCCCAGATGGTACCTTGTGTTCAGCCTCCTGCTCCCTTCGCCTAATTTTATTACCTTACACTTTCCTGAGTTGAACTTTAGCAGCCATTTTCTAGACCATTCCTCCAGTTTGACCAGGTCGTCCTGTAGTCTCTGTCTTCATCTCTCATGTTCACTTGTGGTGTTCACCATCTCTCTCATGTTCACTTGTGGTGTTCACCATCTCTCTCATGTTCACTTGAGATGTTCACCATCTCTCTCATGTTCACTTGTGGTGTTCACCATATCTCTATGTTCACTTGAGGTGTTCACCATCCCTCTCATGTTCACTTGTGATGTTCACCATCTCTCTCATGTTCACTTGTGGTGTTCACCATCTCTCTCATGTTCACTTGAGGTGTTCACCATCTCTCTCATGTTCACTTGAGGTGTTCACCATCTCTCTCATGTTCTCTTGAGGTGTTCACCATCTCTCTCATGTTCTCTTGAGGTGTTCACCATCTCTCTCATGTTCACTTGAGGTGTTCACCATCTCTCTCATGTTCACTTGTGATGTTCACCATCTCTCTCATGTTCACTTGAGGTGTTCACCATCTCTCTCATGTTCACTTGTGATGTTCACCATCTCTCTCATGTTCACTTGAGGTGTTCACCATCTCTCTCATGTTCTCTTGAGGTGTTCACCATCTCTCTCATGTTCACTTGTGATGTTCACCATCTCTCTCATGTTCACTTGAGGTGTTCACCATCTCTCTCATGTTCACATGTGGTGTTCACCATCTCTCTCATGTTCACTTGAGGTGTTCACCATCTCTCTCATGTTCACTTGTGATGTTCACCATCCCTCTCATGTTCACTTGTGGTGTTCACCATCTCTCTCATGTTCACTTGTGATGTTCACCATCTCTCTCATGTTCACTTGTGATGTTCACCATCTCTCTCATGTTCACTTGTGGTGTTCACCATCTCTCTCATGTTCACTTGAGGTGTTCACCATCTCTCTCATGTTCACTTGAGGTGTTCACCATCTCTCTCATGTTCACTTGAGGTGTTCACCATCTCTCTCATGTTCACTTGTGGTGTTCACCATCTCTCTCATGTTCACTTGTGATGTTCACCATCTCTCTCATGTTCACTTGTGATGTTCACCATCTCTCTCATGTTCACTTGTGATGTTCACCATCTCTCTCATGTTCACTTGTGGTGTTCACCATCTCTCTCATGTTCACTTGTGGTGTTCACCATCTCTCTCATGTTCACTTGAGGTGTTCACCATCTCTCTCATGTTCACTTGTGGTGTTCACCATCCCTCTCATGTTCACTTGAGGTGTTCACCATCTCTCTCATGTTCACTTGTGATGTTCACCATCTTGTAATTTGTAACATAATTACCCTACTCAACCACCTTTCCCTAACTGTCAAATTACCCTCCAACCATCACTAAACAACCTTAATCAATTACTTAAACTACCAGACTACTAAAGCAACAACCGCCTTGCTTAACTGTCAAATTGTTCTCGCTCAACCAGCCGGCCATTAAGTGATTCGCTTTAACACGCACGTTGGGGCTGAGGGGTTAACTACTTACCAATTAGGCCGTCCTAACTAGCTGGTCGTCAAGGGGGTCATTTGCATGCTAATGACACGAGGAGGGCGTCTTGGCGCTTCGTTTGTACTGCCTTGTTTGACCTGAGGTAATGGTTAGGTCGTTAGCATGTCCCCTCGGTGCTTTGCAGGGGAGGGAGAGAGAGAGAGAGAGAGAGAGAGAGAGAGAGAGAGAGAGAGAGAGAGAGAGAGAGAGAGAGAGAGAGAGAGAGAGAGAGAGAGAGGTGTAACAGTATGAACCTGTTTCTCAAATTCAAATTCAAATTCAAATTCAAATTCAAAAGGGTTATCCGTTAACGGCCGTACATTTATGTAATTGAGTTTACACAGCATTTACTGACAAGAGTCTCGTAATAATACGATGACAAGCAATTATTATAATTATTGTGTGATTTAGATTTAGAAGCTGTGTGTGTACCAAGGTTTTTGATCCTTGTTCATAACGCGTTTGTTTCTGTGTTCATGTTTGAGTTTGCATGTCACTGTGTTTGTCCACGTGTGGGTGAGGATTACTTCCTGTGTGTGTGTGTGTGTGTGTGTGTGTGTGTGTGTGTGTGTGTGTGTGTGTGTGTGTGTGTGTGTGTGTGTGTGTGTGTGTGTGTGTGTGTTTGTCTGTCTTGCCAAGTTGTCGGTCTGATTCTGTCTCCTCCCCCGTCCACTCTGTCACTCTCTTGTCTGTCTGTTTGTCTCTCTTACTGTCACTCTCTGTCTGTCTGTCTCTCCCGCTCCCCGTTCGTACCAGACTATCTGTAATATGCCAAAAAGTAATTAAAAGTTATCTACACCCGCACCCATGTAATCTTTCAATTAATTATTCCCCAGCAGAACAACCGACGCATAAAACAAACAAACAAACAATTAGCCCAACAGAAAACAAATACAATAGTCAAGACAAAACTCAAAGGTAAATAAATAATAAGCTTCTTATACAAGAAACAATTGGGGGGGGGGGTTGAAGTAGCAGTTAAAATGTACTTTCCAAGCAAGCCATGGCTCTGGACCCTGGTTCCAATCCTATGAGAGGAGAGATGATTGGAC